CTTTGTGGCCATAATTTCCTTAAATATATTAAAAAATTATTTCTATTAAATCAATAAAAAATTAATAAAAATCCTTAACAAATAAATTTTAATAATTAATTTTATTTTTAAACTATTTTTAAAAAAAGTGTTTTATTTAAAAAATGTAAAACAAATTAAATACTGATTTTTATAAAATTCTATTTTGAATTAAAATTCTAAAAACACTCTTTAATTGCTTTGAAATTTATACAAAAATAAATAAACTCATTTTACCTGATTCAAGCACATTCTAAAGAATAAATTTATAATAGCGATTAGTAGAGAATTTAATTAAATTATTTTTTATTTCATTTTCGAATGTTTAGAATTTGTTTTTTTAGTACTCCTCCTATAGTCTTTTTGAGTCATTTTCTTCCTTTTTGAAATCACAGTAAGATGGTTCATCTAGGTTTAAACTTGTAGATTTTATGGTTGTATTCAAATTGGAAGCAACACTTTCACTGCTGTGTTAGGATTGATATGAATAATTGCTATCCTTGAAGTGTTGTTGATATACCTATAAGTTTTGCTAAGAAGACTAAATGTTTTGAGAAACTTGTGTTTCTTGATTATTTTCGAGACTATAATTAGAATCAGCGTTTGTGTTTACACTTGGATTAAAGTTTAGGTTTTTGAATTTCAGTTTCTTCTCTTTAAGTGGTTCTTATTTTTTACATAAATAAAGTAAGCTGATAAAATAAAATAAAATAATATTTTGCATTTTAAAGAGGAAATTTGACTTTTTTTGAATTAATAATTTTTAATTAAGCAATTTAGGTTAAATTTTACTTCTCTAATTGATTTTTTAATCAATTAATAATCTCATTACACATTCAAAGCAAGAGCTTTTTCTTAAAAATGATGCTTTTTAATATTTTTCTTTGAAATATGAATGTAAAAATGTTGTTTTTACAAAAAGCTACTAAATTTCTAAAATCTTATTTATAAATTTTTCAAATTAAGTAAGAAGAAAGGGGTTTAGTTAGCTGAAAATACTAAAATTGCTTGAAATTCTTATAAATAAATATCTTTTACTTTACTACATGGGAGAGGAAGAAAGATTATCAGAAATAGACTTATCCCTGTTTAATTCATCGCTATTGAATTAGTCGTGCTTTGACTAATTATTTGCTATGCTTCTTTTTAATAATATCAAAAAATGAGCTGCTATTCAATGCTATGAAAAGAGAGAAAATAATTTAGACTTTTTGGTGAATTGTCTTTGTTATTAATTTATTTATTTGTTTATTGTTGATTGTTTTGATGATTCCTAATAAAAGATTTTGGAACAATTAAAGAAAAAAAATTAATAATGCAGATTTTTTTTAATTAAATTATGTTTTTATCAACTCTAATTATTTCATTCTGCTTGTTTGTTTGTTTGCTTTATTTATTTATTCGCTTTTGATAATAATAAAAATCTTTTGTTTAATTTTTGTTGGAGACCGACACAAATGTATCTTTTTTCACACTTGCTTAAACTCAGAAAATGATCTTTACCTCTCATGTTCTTAACTGTTATCTTATCCTAATCATAATTAAATATGTTTTAATAAATTTTATGCTTAGCTTATATTCTTTCTTGTTGCTAAATTTTTGCTTTCAGTTGATTAAATTGAATGATATTTGATAGTGGTGACAAAGCAAAAAATGGTAGAAAGAAATTGAAATCAAACTTAATTACTCTCTGTTTCTTCTTGCAAAATATACTTAATTATCCGCGGATTGATGTAGGTATAATGAACTAAATTCTCCTCTCTATCGCAATCAGCAGACTTGCTTCTATTGACGAAGAGGTGAGGAGAGTCTCTTTGAGAATACAGCTATATCAAAATCTTTCTACTCATTGAATTTACACTAACTATCTTTGTTTTTTGTTATAAGAAAGCAAAAGACTATAGTATGCGATAATCGATGATGATATGCTTAATATCAAAGTTTGCAAAAAATAAATTATATATATATAACAATCAAACAAAAAGCAATTAATCAATCACCCTTTAAAAATAAATACTAACAAACTAACTATCTATCTATCAAACTATATAATACAATTAATTATTTATATTATATTTTATCTTATTTCTTCCTTCCTCTTTCACACACAAACTGAAGTGCATCATCAAACATAATAAGTCATATTAATTTACATTTCTTACGAAATTCTCCTCTTATATTCCAATATAAATTTTTTATCTTTTCTCAATCTTTCAATCAAAAATCGATTACAAAATTTCTCGTTTACTTATCGCTTTGCACCAGCACTTCACTTTTTTCATTTTCTCATTGTAAATTCATCCTTCTTTGCTACAATTATTTATTCACCACATTCTAAATCCAATATTACGACTATGTAAAACTATGCAATTTTATATAATAAATTCTTCCTTTTTTACTTATAATTTATTTCTTGCAATTCTACTAGCAGATTAGCTAAGGCTTGCTAATATGAGGTCATCTCTTTTCTTTTATGCTTTAATTAATTTAGCACTTTTTTCAATTAAACGGTACCTGATAATCTATTTATAGAAAATATCTCATCACTTTTCATATGTAATCTTGTCACTCATAGATATAACCATTCCTGATGAACTGATTAATTCTAAATTATTTTTCACAACTAAGCAAGCAATTTTTTAAACAGGAAACAGTTTATCAAAAAGTAGAGAGTAGAAAACTAATTTTTTTTTTAAGTCTGTATCTTTCTTTGTAATTAAGGGTAATAAGCTAAAAAAGATCTACCAACCAATTAATTTAGATATAAGTAAACGAACAAATCCCATCTTTTAGCTATCAAAAACTAAAATACAAAATCCATATTTAAAAAAGGAAATTCTACTTTAAATTGAAAAAAAAAGTTTTGAATATTCATTTTGAACAGGTTGAACATAATTAAAACTTATCAAAAAATGCCATATTCATATTTATCACTTTAATGTTTGTGTTTGCTGAAATTAAAAAGTAACATTTGATTAACTTTTAAAATTCAATAAATATCTTATATTTTTAACCATAAAAAAAGATATTTCTAATCTCTAGAAATTGTCTATTTCTCCATCAAAATATATTGGCGTTCTAATTTAATTTTGCTTTAAAATTTATTTTTCTTACATTAAATTACTTAACCACTCAATGATTCATTTAAAAAATGTATCTAAACATACAAAATTCTATTGCATTTTAAATGCTATAATTATTTATTTATTAATAATTAAAAATTACAGCATCTTTATTTCATAATACAAAAACTCTAAAATAGATAGGATTATACCTATATCATAAATTATAAAAGTTCTGTAATAAACAATAAACTGTTTATATCTATTTTTACTTTTTCCCTTTTTTTGTTGGTAAAATAAATATATTACTATAAATTGTATTTAATTTCTAAAATTAATTTATTCAAATACAATTAAAATTAAAATTTTTAGTATGAATAATATATTATGATAATATCCTTTCATTTTTATAATTTATAGAAAAAAATGATAAATTTTCAAGATAATTAAAACTTGAAAATAATCTATAAAAATAAAATAAACCAACTTACTCTTTAATGTGTATAAAAATCAAAATAAGAGTATTTTTTGGATGTTTTATTTTTTTTAAATTGAAATTTAGTGAAGTGTTAACTTATTAGTCAATCTAATTCTTTTAATAATGTAATCCACAAAAATAATTATTTTGTGCCTTTTATTAATCCATTTTTAGATTGCTCTCAAATACTTTAAGGAAATGAATGATTCAGTTTATTTATGAATTTATTTTATATCTTGTTTGATAAATTACATTTGTTTGATTCATTTTTTACACAACATTTTAAGATTTATAAAATATTTTTTATATTAGAAAAAATTCAAAATAAAAATAAAAAAATTTTTAAATCTTTTAAAAAAACTCACAATACATAGTAGTTAATTTAACAATAAAATTTATCATGAAAAACAAAAACTCCATAATTTATCTCTCAATAAAAAATTGAAAGATAAATTCATAAAATTAATTTTATTTTAAGGAATAATCAGGTAATGTACATATATAACTATTTATTTTATTATTTTCAATTTTTAAAGTAAGCCTTATCACCATTTAATTATTTATTTAATTACTTACTTAGTCACATTTTCTTACTTTTTAAGTTATTTACATATTTAATTTATTTAGTTCTTTTTGTGAATAAAATATATCCATGTAATTAAGATAAAGTGGAGTAAATTATTGATAGTTTATAATATGAAACAAATTATTTAAATAATACTTCTAATATTAAATAAGCTATGTTATTCTGAATTAAAACTTAAAAATATAAATAATCTTTTTTTTGTTTGGAATTTATAGAAAATACCAAAAAATTTAATTTTTTATGATAATAATATTTAATTTTATTAACCTAATTGAATACTATTTTAATTTAGCTTATTTTTCATAATATTTTTCTCTTTTTTTTGAATTTTGAATTTGTCAATAAGATGTTTTTTAAACTAGATAGTTAATAATATAAATAATGAGTAATTATAAATGAATAGATTTTATTTATTATATGATTAAAGTCAGTTATTAACATTATCGTGGTTTTATTATTGTTTTTATTACTCTTACTTCTTCTACTTTTCATCAGCTTCTTCTTCCAATCTTACACAGAAATTATATGTTTGTAAATCATCTTCTTCATCAAAATCCTCATACTCTTCTACAAAGCAAGGAGTTTAAACTAGTTGCTCATACTATCTATTTCCTTCCATTATTCCTAAATTACACATTGATAAAGCAGCTGTCTTTCTATCTTCAAGTAGTGTGGCACACTTTAAACAATAAATAATATTAAAAAAATTCATTCTATTTCTTATAAATATTTATTACTTCTATAGCATCCCTCAAAACCTAGATAGCATTATCTGAATTTCTTATTGGCATTTTTGATGTGATTTAAGTGATGTGAAGAAGGCAATCTAGCTATAATTTTTTATTACCTATTTTCATGCTCAGTTCTCTGCAACTCTTTAATTAAAAAATAATAATTATTTATTTATACTTTAACATTTTAATTTATTTAACTGTAAAGCTGTCGAGAGCTTCTTCATACTAATGACTCTTGAAGTAACTTACTCCCAATTATCCATAAGCTAAACATTTACTTTCTACTTCCTAAAAATAAAAATTAAATTAAATATTGATTATAAATTTATGCATATTTTTTTTTACTTCTCTTTATTTTGCCCAATCAAGAGCCTTTTTAAAATTAACTATTGATTCAGCTAAATGATCAATCTTTCTGAATGCTATACCTATATTATAGAAGCCTGCATACGAATTTTCTAAATCAGAAAGTTAAATATTTTGCTCATGATATTCTATACATTTTTCATAGTTTCCTATATTAAAATAATTAACAGCTATTCTGTTTGCTCCCAAAGCGAGTCCAATTTTATCCTCCATCATTTTAGCACAGGTGAAAAATTGTTTGTAAAACTTTATGGCCTATTTTAGATTAAAAATTGTATTTAAAAAGTTTTCAAAAAGTATTTAAATTTCATTTTTTTTTCAACTTTTTATAATTAATTAATTAACTAATTTATATTACTTCATTATATTATTTATTTGATTCATAAACCATTCCCAAATAAAAGCTTAAGTGAGCTTCTTTCTATATATCTCCTGCTTGCATTCCAGCTTTGGCTCTGACCAACAAATCCTTTATGTTGCTTTTGCTGTCCTTAAAGTTATGAGTTAAAGGCACAGAAGGGGCATACCTTTTTTAAAAAAAAGTATTTCTCTAAATATGATTCAAAATTTTAAAAATTGGTATTTATTTCAGTTATAATTATTTAATATCTCTCTATTAATTGATTAATTAATAATTATTCTCAAAAATATTTTATTTATTACTTAAGAATATTGACTTATAAATTCAATTGACAAATATTTCGTCAAAAATTTTAGTTAATACATTCTTATTACTCTTTTTTTTCCAATTTAACTTGAATTTCATAAGCTGAATTTTAAATCTTTATCATTTAAACTTTAAAAATTACCCATTTCCTGGCGTTAAGGGAGATGCGATTGTGGCATTTGGAAGGTCTGGAGGTTATACTTATATTTATTGGTCAAAGAAATACTCATCTTTTGGATGAGTTGTATCTAGCTATAAGGTTGATTCAATAACTTAAATATTTTCAGTTAATAGCTTTTCTGCCTCTTTGCGAGGAGAGAAATTAAATTTGCTGTTGGTTTTGGCAAGAATGTCTTCTTTTAAGGAGGCATTAGCGCCTGTTAAAGTCTTTCCCATATACTTTTAAATGTTATTTATTTATTAATTATCAAGAAACTTAGCGTTTGTTTTCATTTTTTCATTTTCTTCATTATATATGTGGAGAATCTTTTCATATTACTTTGCTCTGTCATGATGGAACAGATTCTCAAAGTCCTTTTCCTTTTCTTTTAAATCTTCTAACTTCTTCTCCTTTGGTGCTACAAATATCTCTTTAAACATCTAAAAATCACTTTCCTGCCTCCTTAGAGGTTTATTTTTAAATTATTGAGGCTATTTTACTCTGAAAGCGCATGGCTATAAATTTTTGAATTCTTTAATTTTTTATTTTTCATCTATTTTTGCTATTTCAAGTTACTCAACCTTTCCTTCTAAGTCGACTAGGACTTCCTTACTTACATAAGTAATAGGTTTGACCTTCTCATTAACATTATAACGGGAAGGTAATAACGGTTTAAAAGTAGGATCTTTAAAGGGAATATCTATTTTACTTTTAGTCATAGGAAGTGTTGAATGTGAAGAAAAAAATTTATTTGAGCTAGTTTTATTCATAGCATTTTTAGAAGGAGAATTCTGCACAATCCTAAATCTCTTTGACTGGCTTGTCTTGAGATATTCTCTAGTTTATTCACTCTACAGCTGACTAGTATTTTAATTATTCTCAGTATTATCAAATGACTGAAGCTATTTGCTTGCGTTCATAGCATTTTTAGAAGGTGAACTCTAGCCTAACCTTTTAGATTAGCTAGTCTTCAAATTCTCTCTAGCTTAATCTGCTTTAGAATACATATTAGCATTTTAACTATTTTAGGTATTCATTTTATAACTAACTCTTTGTTGAACCTTTCAGTCTATAAATACTTTATAAATGCTCCAATCCAAATTTGCAATTTTGTTCTATACTACTTATGAATTAAATAGAATTTGGATTCTGCTAAATAATGTCTATAAAAAATAAATTCTAGCTATCCTTTTTTGCTTTGCACTTTACAAAGACTATTTTTCAAATGATGTAACTAATCTTTTAATTACTTTATATATATAATTGATTAAGAAAATAAATGCAAAATAATAATACAAATTGAATCAGCTAAATAATTAATGTTCATTTGCTTAAAAAATATAATCATTAATTAATTACTAAAAGCTAGACTATTTATTAGATATCTTAATATATAACTTAAAAAATATTTATAACTCACTCATTGTATATTGTATGAGTGTGTATTGTATAAATGACTAAATTTAAAGTATAATGGCACATGGTACTATGCCTGTCAAACTAACATATTTGTCTTGATTAAATTAATTTCTACTAAAAATTCTAAAAAATAGACATTAATTTATAAACAATCAATAAATAAATATTTGATAAATAATTTAATTAACATATTAAAAATCTTAAAATTAGTAATTTTATTTATTAAATTTAGTTTATGTTTCTGATACGTTTTTTATGTATATGAATATATTTAAATATAAAATTGTTTAATAATCTATTAATAAGTTTAAATTTATCTACTAAAAATATTCTATTTAAATAACATAAATTTATCTTATTTTTAATTGACTTTGGCATTTAAATTGTTCTAACACAATAAGTATATAATTTCAACTAATTAGATTTTTTCTAAATATTGTTAAAAATTTTAAATTTAATGAATTAAATATTTGAAATGGTATTTAAATTTTAACAACAACTAAGCTATTAATTAAAAATTAATTAATTTCTTTAAATAAATAAAATAATATTAATGATATTTATAATTTTCTGTTATATGTTTTATCAAATAAATAAGTTAAAAAATTGATATCAGTAATTAAAAAGTTATTTTATTAATTAATTATTCACATATTTGAATTCATGAATATAAGAAAAGAAGAAAAATATGTAAAAGAGTAGAATTGATATTATGAATAAATAATACATAAATACATAATTAGTTGATGATATATTGGTTTATTTTTATTATGAGATATTTCTTTTTATTTATTTATTTATAATAAAATATTTTTTGCTCTTTCAGAAGTTTGGATTTCTTTGCAAAACTGAATTAGAATAGTTTATTGCTTATTGTATTGTTTGTTAGGCATTTGGTACACTGCTATTTATATAACCTTAGTTTTATGCCTGTTGCTATTAAAATTGTATTTCCTAAGGAATCGCATTCTAATATTATGTAAATTGAGCAGAAGTACCTGAGGAATTATTTTAAGGATTTTCAAATGAACCAGTTTGAGAAACATTGTTATTGTTTAAACCTGATAATTGGAATTGCTATACGGGAGCAAAGTTCTATTGTTAGACAGGTTATTAATTAATGTTATTGAATGAAACGGACTAAAATGGCTTCTCACCTACAGTTTAAGGATTTTGATAAATTAAGTTTATTGGTGAGTAAGTTAACTATGTGTTGTTTTAGTTATTGCTTGGGGTAAGTGTGCCATTAACTTAATTGTTATTTTATTGGTTATTGTGAGGTGTATTTTCAGTAGCGATGCTAGTTACATTATAATTATTTTGCTGTTATTGTGACTATATTTGGTTTAATGGAATTTGTTAAATTTGTTATTGGGGTTATTGATTTAATCCTACTTGATTTTGTTAAGGTTGTTGTACTTACACAGCTATTTATGATGAAATACCAAAAGTATTAGCAGAATTTATCTATGGATTTTAAATAAATGAGCTTGTGTTTGATGGTGTCATCACAACGAACTATTAATTTTGTTGTTAAGATTATTACTGTTAACCGCTACTTTGCTACTACAGTAATGGTATTTGCTGTGACTGTTACAAAATTTGCTAAGCTTATTGTTGTTGTTATTATTAGATCTAAAAAGATTGTTAATTTATTGCTTGCTGAGAAATCTATTGCTATTAAACTATTTATTGTTAAGGAGGCTACTATTGCTATTACTAAATATTCCCATTCATTTAAAAATTCACTGTTGATTAATTTGGGCTAAACACTGAAGGAGTTGCTACTTATTAATAGTTTTAGTTAGGTTGCATCATCGGAGTTACAGCTGCCTATGAATTTTCATTTAAAACAGATTAATTATTTTCAATTAATTTAGATAAAAAATATTTACTGAAGTGAAGTTAGTTGGGGCATTGCTCTGCTAGAAGACAAGCTTTGAATGTGCTAAATAGCTTTTATCAGGAGAGTACTTTACTGCAGACATAGCAGGTGATGTAGATTGAACTACGGATAGAGATTGGTTTAATAAGTTGATTCCTTATGCATTTGCTGGGTTGAGATTGTAAACAAGAGAGGGATTAATACTAACTCCGCTCTAAAGAATTAAATTTTAATCTGGATGTACATAGTTCTATTTAACAGTGATGTAATCTGCAGAAAAAGGAGTTAAAGATTAAATTTACTGTCTGTAAGGAGTTAATATTGCAGAAATTTCATGGAAAGTAGGTCTTTAGAACTCCTCTCTGTTGAGCATTTCTCTGATTAAATTAACAAGGAATCCTGAATACATAAGTCTTGCCTTTTACAGAAAATCTTCTATCAAATTATATCTGATTTCGCAAGAAGAGTAATCATAAAAATTGAGTGCTTTAAAAAGAGAGCAACATTCTAACATAGTCATACCAAGTGAGTAAACATCTGACTTAAAATGATTATGGGAAGGTCTTTTCTCTTTATTTGCGAACGCATTCATTAGCAAGGGAGAGAGATAAGGAGTATCCCCATCAAAAAGTGCTTTTGCATAACCTATTTTTTAATAATATTTAAAAATTGATTTATTTATTTAATCTTCTTTTAATTGCTAGCTATTTCTTTATAAAGAATTAATCTTGTTATTTTTCATTCACTATCTTTAAAAAAAGCAAGCCATTTTTTTGATTTTTTAGTATGTTTAATTGCAAAATAACTTTTTATATTTTAGATTCAAACAAAAAAAATTTTTTACCATTTTTAGACTGATTTACAATGCCATTATCTGCTAATTTAACTTGACCTGCAACTGTTAAGAGAACGTTGATGGGTCTAATGTCTCCGTGATAAATTTTGTTTGACTCAAAGAAGGAACAAGCATTTACTATTGAATCAATCAAATACCAAATTTCAGGTTCGGTAAAGTACTTCTATTCAGGGAACCTCTTTTCAAGTTCTTTCTCTAAATTCAAGCTATAATACTCATAATAGCAGTTTATTTTAGAGAAATCTCCACAAATTTGAGTTTCTGAATGCTGATTAAATCCTATCATCTTTAAAACGTTTGGATGGTTAATCTTTATTCTTCTATTGCATTAACGAAGGAATTAGTTGTAATTTTCCTCGTCCCCACACCAATGGCCCTTTAAGAAAACATACCTATCTGTTCCCTTCTCTTTGTATATTTCTATTTTACAATAATAAAGAGTTACGATTAAGAAGTTGTCAAAAAAAAATTATATTTAATTAAATAAATTTATTTATTTTTACAAATGTCACCAAAGCGAGGGTCCTTCTTTTCCCTAACAAATGTAAAATCCTTTTATATTTTTGATGCAATGTTGTTAGAGCCACCATCTCCATCGCTTGAACTAATATCGTTACCCATTTATACTTATTTAAACCTTATTCTAAACTTTTATAATTTATATTTCTTAATCTTTTGCGATAAAAATCTGTGATTATTTTCAATAATTTATTTTTTTAAGATAAAATTTCTTTTTATTCAAATCAATTTATTAAATTTTCTTTATTAACTACTAATTCAAACATAGCCTTGGATTTAGTCAATCAATAAATAAATCAATTGATTAATTTATTTATCTAGTTAGTGCTGTTAAATTTTAAGTTTCCTTAGCTGAAATTCAAAATCGCCATAAATTTCTTATTTCTAAATAAAATTTATTTAGCTGCATAATAATATGTAATTTAAATTTTTTACACTTATTTAACTTTATTTAATAGCATTTTATCTAAACTCAATAACCATTCAATAGCTCTAATACATATAGAAACAATAAAAAAATTAACACTTTTAAATTTACTGTAAAATCAAAAGCAAGTTTAAAATCCTATAAATAGATAAATAAGTCAAAATAGATTTGCATAATTTTATTTTTTATTTAAAATCAAAATATTTTTTTAAGCTTAACTTATTCATTTTTTTATATATTTATTTATAAAAGAAATAGAATAAAATTTGAGTTTAACTTTATTATTTACAAAAAATAAAAAAATATTAAAATTTAATATTCAAAATTAAATAAATTTATAAAAATAATTTTTTATTTTAATAATTGTTTATCTAAATTAGAAGATTTAAATGTGTTAATGGAAACCTAGAAGAAATTAAGAAAAACGAATTTGAGTTAAATTTTAATTTCTATTTTAAGTTTAATTGAATATTTTTTTAGGTTTTTTTTGTAAATAATAATAATGAAAATAATTTATAATAAATTTAATGGATAAAAAATTAAACAAACTAAATTTAAAATATACATTTGCAAATTTAGTGCTCATAAATCTTAATTAATTAAGATATTTTTTTAATTGTAGGTGTTAATTGTTTTTCAACGTTCCTATCTGAAATTAATAGAAATTTCTTAAGATATTTTTATAAATAAGTAATTAGTTAATTTAGTGAAAAGTAATTGTTTTTAATGATTTCTTTACATAGATTATAATAGATTAGTTTAAAATAAATCTCATATAGCAAATATGGTATAAGAATTTTGCATCAAAACTAAATACCAAGCAAATTATAGTACTGCTTCAGTTAGAGCAACAAAGATAATGAGCCATAGTAAAATTAAGATTCAGCATAAACTAACAAAAATTTAGTAAAAATTAATAAAATATTCTTATAAAATGTTTTTTACTGTTTTTCGAATTCAAAATTGATTTTACTAAGTTTTAATATAATTAAGAATGTTATTTATAAGCGTAAATTTTTAAAAAATATAGAGTTATGTTGATGAGTTGAAGTAAAAAACTAAAAATTAATTGATACAAATCAAAATGCAACAAATTGCTGAATCTCAAAAAACTAAAAAGGAATATCGTGATGCAGTCTTATTTGAAGAAATTTTGAATACTTAAAAAATTATTCCCTTGTATGATTGCTATGGAAAAGTATTTAGACATGAATTGATAAAAAATTTAATTTTTGTTTTGGGTGGCTTTGGAATTTTGTACTATTTCTACAATGATCCTGACTCTAAGCCTAAAAAGAAAACTTTCCTTTGTGCTTTAACTTTGTCTTTTATTGCAACTAGAGTTCTCACTTATCGCCGTTTATAAAAGAGTTTTGTTGATAAGATTATTTATGATACTACAACTTAAATGGTCACCTTGACAAAAAGGACTTTTTATGGTAAAAGATTTGACCAAGAACTAAACCCTGCTTTACTCTTATTTACAAATGACAAATCTTTGAATATGAGAAATATTAATTATATAAATATGGAAACATTAGAAACTTATCAAATTGGATACGATTACGCTTGGAAAAACAAGGCCCTATTTTCTCACATCCTAGAATAAAGAATAGAAACTATCAGAAATAAAAAAAATTGATTTTAATTCTTGTAATTATAATTAAAGCTATTGTAACAAAATATATTAAAATATCTATTACCCTAGAGTTGAAAATTTTAATTTTAGATAACTATAATTTATATTCTGATATTTTAACTATTATTAAAATTATTAATTTAAGCAGCTATTTAATTACTTTACTAATTAATATTTTAATTTAATATTTTTTGAATAAAATCTTTAATAAGATTTATCTTATTATTCAAATAAATATTATGTAAATAATACATCATGAACAAATACATTTTTAAGATACTTTTTTTTTGAATATATAAGGAAGGGGATAATGAAATATCAACTATTTTTTACTCTCCCTTTTACTAAAATCAAAAATATAATTAAAATTATTTTATTTGTTTTTTAGTTAGAGTTAAAATAGAAGAAAACTTTTTTTATCTAGCTGAAAATTGAGAAGGGAAATGGCAATTACCACCATAAATTTTTTTTTTTTTCAATTAATTTCCTAACCACATTTTTATCATTATTTTGAATTTTAATATGATTTAAAAATATTATTTATTGATAACATAAGCTAATTATTTTAAACATTTTATTTTATATTTAGAATATATATCCTGACACTAAAACAATTTGTTATTTTTTAGAAAAAATCTTGACTGACTGAATGAATAAATAATATATTTGTTTGTTGTTATGTTTTATTGATTTACTAACTTCAATTGCTGTCCCTAATTATAAATTAGTTAAAAACAAAATTTATAATTTACTTTAAATTTTTTTTAAATTAAAAGATAAAAATAAATTAACTTATCATTTTCTGATTGATGAGGCATAATTTTATCTTCTTCTTAACTCTATTCAATTTCTTTTTCTTCTTCCCCTTCTGAATTAGATTCTTCACTTAATTCAAATTATTCTTCCATTTATAATTTACATTAGATTAGTCTTTACATTTTATAAACTTATTTTTTAAGTTTATTTTATGACATTTGATTTATAAAATTTTCACTATTTCAAATAATTTAAAAATAAATGATTTAGAATGCTTTAATAACAACTTTTCATGATTTTAAAAATCTCAATAATTTAAATTAAATATTAATTTAGTATTATTAGAAATCAATCATAAATTAGTTAAGGTTGAATGAAATAATTATTTTAACATATCTTAAAATTTAATAAAGTTATGAATAAATGTAAATAAACTATTTTTACTAGAGATTGATTGTTAAAGACAGTAAATTAATACATTTTTATAACCAAAATCCTAATTTTGACACACCTTTTCTTCCAATTTAATTGTAGCTTTTTAATAAATATGTTTGGTAAAATGATTAAATAGAAAAAATATCAAGAAAATAATAAATAAATGATAAATTAGTAAAAAATTAAAATACGAACATTTAAATTTAAATTTCAAATAATAAATAAAAATGAAAGAAAAAAAATAGAAAATAAAAAATCATCAAATAAAAGCCATTAATTAATTTTACTTTCAAAAATTAAAGTATAAAAAATAAAAATAAATGTATAGTATCTACAAGAGTATGAGCGTTAAATCTTAGAGATTAGTGTACTTTGCTAAGTAAAAACCTAATTTAGATATTCCTTCATCTTTAATTTCATTGTATCTATTTTTTATTAGTGTTTTTTAGATTATATAAAAAATATAATAATAAATTATTTAAAAAAAGGAATATTAGGAAATAATTTATTAATAATTTAAGATTTTAGGAAATAAAAACTAAATAAGTAATTTACTAAATATTAAGATAAACTACCTTAAATTTTAAAAAATAAGCTTAAATAATAAAAGATAAAACTGATTTCCGTGAAAGCGCACATCTCAAAATATATTTTGAGCTTGACCATATTTCTTCTCATTTTAGCAAAACTACTCATTACATTCAAAATTACTTTTTAAAAATGTGCTCATTTTAAAATATATTATTTTTATGCACTGTTTAATAGAATACTATTTAGATATGTGTTTAATATTCTTTATTAGAAAAAGTAATAAAAATATTTTTACCCAAGGTTTAGCTTAATTTTGGAGAGATTAGTACATTTCATTAATCCAGATCCTAAGTCTGATGTTCCCTTTACACCAATTTGATTATCACTTACATATTTTTAAGGAATGTTATAGAAAATAATAAAAAATTTAAAAGAAATAAAATTATCTAGAACAAATAGAAAATAAAAATTTAGAAACAAAATCTAAAATAAATTAAAATTTATTCATAAATGGATTTTAGTGAGAAAATTATAAAATAAATAACCATTCTAAAAATAAATCTATTTTCTAATTAGTAAATATATTATACTGATTAAGCAAATAAATTATTTCTTACGCTAAGTAGAGAGTTAAATTTTAGAGTTTAGAGCACTATGATAAATAAAAACCTAAGTCTGATGCTCCCTTTTAGCCAATTTAATTCCCTCTTTTATATTTTTGAGGTAGAGTGAAACATATTTTTTGAATAAATAAAAGTAAAATAATAATTTTAAAATCAGAATGACTATTTAAAACTTAAAAAATACATTTTTGAAAAAAAAAGGAAATAAAAAATGTAAAAATAAGCAAAATCATTTAAGTCTATGACTATTTTCTTTCTTTTTTATTCATAGCATAGGTAGTAATGTAATTAAAATAAATTTACTAGAGGCTGAGTGTTAAAATTGAGAGATAAGAGCACTTTGCTAAACAAAAACCTAAGTCTGATATATCTTTACCACCGATCTAACTTTATCTTTTTTTTATATTTATATAGAATTTAGTTAAACAATATCAAAATAAGTTTTAAAAAAAGGTATTTATTTTATTTTATTTTAGAAAGGATTTGAATTAAAAAAATTAAATATGGTAACTTACTTGAGGTCAATATTAACATCTAAATGAGATGATAATTAGGAATTTTAAAACTTTTTATTTTTTAAAAGAAAATTTATTTTATGAATAGCATTTTATGAGTTAAAACATAATTTTATGAAATAATTCATTTATACTTCGCTTAAATTATAAAAGAATTTTTTATTTTATTCCATCATTTTTTTATTTTATTTTATGAGATTCTTATTTAAACAAATAAATTAATTATTAAATTCATAAGAATTTTTTAAATCTTTTAAATAAAAGATTAATACAAAAATAAATTGTAAAGAGATACAAAAATAAACAATTAAATCTGATAAAATTTAAGCGCTAAAAACAAAATTTTTTAACCAAAAATATTTATTGTAATTATATCACTAAATAGAGTAACCTAATTATGTTCTTTATTTAATTTTTAAAAACATTTAATGCCTTTTCTCAAATTTTGTATGAAAAAAATTTTTTTTTTAACAAGTTTTCAAAAACATTCTAGGAAATTAAATTTTTATAAATTATAAAATTTTTCTTCTACTTAAATATAAGTTTATAGTACATACATAATAATAAAATAAAATAAATGCTTTTTAAAGGTTTTGTGTACATTTAGAAAAATACTTTTGTTTGAGTAAAATTAAGAAGTATTTTTTGTGTGAAATAAAACTAATTATTTATTTATTTATTTTTGTTAAGGATTTAATGTTTCAAAATTTATTATTTGTTAAATAGTTATTGTTATTAATATTTCTTTAATAAGGGCTATTTGTTTCTTGCTTATTAGAAGTTACAAACGACTTTGATCTAGTTTATTTTTACTAACTTTATATTGTTTTTCTTTGTCTCGTGTATAGTTCATCTCTATTTAGCATAATTTCGCCAAAGTGATTAAATTTATTTCTATTATTTTTTGCAACATGGCTATCTGCTTCAGTAGCAATTAGAAATGCACTATTATTGTTGTCTAAGCTAATTTTCTTTTAGTTTTTAGGCTAGTACATTGAAAGATCAAGTTTATTTTATGATATTTTTTGTGACATTGTATGTTTCTCTCTTTTAGGAGACTTGCTTAATAATTCTCTGTTACTAGGCAGAGAAGCTTTTACTGAATTATTCTTTTCTGGACTTGAACTTAATCTGTCGTTAGAGTGATCTAATATATCATTTTATTCATTATTCCCACTAAGATTTGTTTTACTGGGACTTTTGGTTTTATTAGAGGTGGTTTATAATTATTAATCTAATTATTCTTTAGCTTCAAAGGTGTGCATATTGACTTCTTAATTTAATTACACTTCTTTATTAGGAATTGAACTGCTATCCTTATTTGAAGTAGAGTCGTGCTCATAGATGGCTGAATAATTCAAATTTGATTTTTTATTGATTGTTTTGGAATTAACACTTTTGTATATATTTATATATCGAGTGTTTGAAATAGTTGTATTTTTATTTTAATTTGAACCATCTTCGTTTTTATAGATATTTTTTTGATTCTTTGGCTAAATACTGCTATATTAACTCCCATGATTTTAAGAAGTTTACATGTAGAAATTTTTATGATAGTTTGTTTTATTCATAATATCTATATGATCTTATTGAAGTATCTAAAGAGGATTCACTTTATTTTAAGAGTATTGTCTGTACCTGCTTGCTTACATATTTTTCTTGATAGGAGAGATAGAATTCTGCGAGCTTTGCAGCCCAGAAAAATTTCCTATGCTAGTATTCAATAATTAAACATTATTGCTCTAAGCAATTTATAACTCAAACTAATTAGAATCATAAATGTTTTTTTATGCTAAGCTAACAAATATTGGATATTTTGATTCTATTTCTTCAGGTTTTAATTCTTATGCTTCATCTATTTAATGATGCAGTTTATCACATTATACTTTAGTTCTCTTGTATTAGTCTAAAAGCTACTTTTCTATTTCTTCTAAGTTTTTAATCTACTTCTCTTTCTACTCTTTTATCAGTTGTTCTTGCAAAATTTTATTGTTGTAGTTCTCTTTAAATTATTTGTATTTTTCCTCATGATAAGACTGTAATTTCATTTATGCCTGCTGCTAACTTATCTTGACTTTATCATGTTTGGATCTCTTAAACTAATGAATAGTGCTTTAAAAGTAATCTCTCATTTAACCAAGTTCTCTTGATTGATATTTAATTTCTTAGGCATTCTTTTTTCTCCCCTAAATAAGTTGTTCCTGATTCTGCGTTAATTTTTATCTGTTTAAGTCTTTCGACACTTCATTTTTGCTTAAAAGCTCTTCAATTTCCTTTTACTTTTTCTATCTGATTATTTCTTTCTAATTAGGCATTCAGTTTTTATTAAAAATAAAAATTTAAAAGAATGAATGAATGAATGAATGATTGACATTGCTAATAAAGAATAAATTAATCTATTTTTACCATTTTGCATTCAATTTAATATCTTTTCTTATTTTCATATAAACTTATAGCTTTATCATACAAATCATTTGTCTTTTTCCAAACATTCATTTATTAATTTTATATAAACTATATTCTGTTTGCGATTGACTGCAACTCCTGATCATTATGCTTATTCTATTGTCTATATTATTCAAGCAATATACTCAAATCCTAATTAGGTTCAGTATTTTATACAAGATTGTTGCTAAAAATTTAAGAATTATCTCTATTAAAAGATGAATCTCTTTTATTGTCTAAATCTACTTATTTCTAATTTTAATTGCTACTTGTTGTGCTATTCCCTAAACCCTTTTAGAATGGCTTTGTAGAGTTGCTTCTGAGAGGAGGCAACTTCTTCTTTGGAATTTCTGTTAGGAGCCTAACGTTTTCTAAAATATTCTCCTAGCTCATTAAAATAATTTTTAAAATAAATATCTTGCTTTGTATTGAATTATCCGCAATACTATTTATTCTAACTAATATTTGTAAAATAAAACAAAGGAAATTTAATTAATGATCAATATTAATTATTAATATTAAATATTATTAAATTTTACTACGAATGTTTTATTTGTATTCATTCATTCATACATAGATACATACACCTTATACTTTAGTTAAAGTATGTTGCAGTAAATTAATTTACTAATTTTAACTAGAATACTTTATATTAAATTAAATTAAATTAATTTAATCTGATTCTATTTTTAAATCTTTTAATATTTTTATAAGCTATGCTAAATTATCATTTAGTTTTAGCTTTTAGAAATAAACGAAATTTAAAATTAATCAAATCAGTTAATTTACTTTAGAAAATAATTTATATTATTTAATGCAATAAAAAAAAAATGAATTTTTTTTTATATTAAATAAAAATTAAAAGTCATTCATAATTAATTAATTAAGTTAATTTAAAATAGAATAAAAATGTTATTTTTATTTACATATATTTACCATTATTTGTTTGCAAATTCAAACCATTAATAAATAGTATTTTAGCCAAATTTAAATCATCAAGAACATTTTGAGTTAATTTTTTATTTTTACAGACAAAGACTTATTTGAACTACCAATAAGATTATTTTTTATTTAGTTAATAAAAATATTTCTACTTTTTGATGAATATTTATTTATTACTTTTAGCTTTTAATTAAACTTTTTAATTAAACTTTTTAATTATACTAATTTATATTTTGGAAGATGATCTTTGAAATTAAAATGTAATTAACTAATATTTAATATAAAAAATTAGTTTAACTAGAGCCTTTTTAATTTTGTATAGGTTATACTAATTAATATTTAATTAAAAGAAATGAAGACAACTATTTAGTGTAAAAAAATATTAGATTAAATTTTTAAATTTGATTTAGTTAGTTAGTTAGTTAGTTAAAAAATTATAGATATTCAGAAAATATAATGAAAATTTATACTGGTGAAAATTTATGAGGATTTATGGTATATATAAAAAAACAAAAACTTACAATTTTAAAAACTCTAAAGCAAAAAAAATATTTAACAAATTAATAATCTTAAATTATTTTAAGTTTTATTAACTGAGTGGCTCATTCTAATTAAATTTAAATGAAAATGTTCTTTAAATTAGTCAATAGAAAATTCTACCCTACGATGAAAGCTGTGAGCAAATTCTGTAGATTATTACATTTTTTTGAGTTTTTTAATATAAGTGGCTCATAATTAATATGGAATTAAAGTTTATAATAGATAAATAAAAACCTTTCCAAAAATAGTGATGTTATATCATAAGATTTTAGAATTATTATTAAAAAGCTTAACAAAAAATGGTATTTTGTTTCATAAAGTTTTGATAAACTTTATATTTAAGGAACATATATAATAAATTAAATATTTTTTTAGAACTAATGCATAAGTAGCTAAAGATATTCCTTTAATATCAAAAAATATTTGAAAAAATATATTTTAATTTAATTAAAAAAAACATTTAAAAAATACTCAAACAAAAATTTGCGATATAAATGAAATACTTAGAATGAATTGAGTAAATTATGTTTAAATTTTCACATTTTTTATATGGATTAAAGGTCTTTAAGAAGAGCTTCAAATTACTTTTCTTGCATAGAGTTAATAAGTGATACAGGTATACTTCCTTTAGGATCTAATAATTGATACATCTCTATTTGTGTTGTATTTTCATTTATTTTTTTTAAGAAAATAACACCAAACTTAGCTTCAACCTTAATTGCATCAATTTTAGGAGTGTTTTAATGGTCGTCAATTTGGTCTCTTGTGATCATTATTTCATTATTATTTAATCTTCTCCTATGTACCACACATAATGAATAACGTGAGCTCACCACAAACTTACTTTTAGTTTAGAATAAAATGACAATAGTATCTTAATCGATCGTTTCTAGTTTAATTAATTAGTCACACATTTCTCTATTTTGCTTCTAAGCATCTAAGCTGTCAAAAAAATATTATGAAGCCTTCTCGAAATTTATAGAGGCATTTCCTTCAAATTTAGTGAGCTTTACTTAGTAGTTCTGATAAATAGTTGAATACATAGTTATATTATCAACTTGCTTAATTTATTTCCAGTTTGTTTTGATATCTCTCAAAGCAAGATTTTCACTAAGCTTGCTATTTATAATATTGCTATACTTATTTCCTATCATTTTTTTTATTTTAATTTATTTTTTATTAATTTATTACTTACTTTTACATCTATTTAATTTCTTCAGTATTTAAATAGCAAGTATTGTAAATAATTAAAATGTAATATTATTATTTTCAATATTAAAAAATTTCTATTTAAATATTATTTAAAATTTTGTTAATATTTCTTTTACTTTGTAATAATTACTCAGAATATATTATAATGATAATCAATTAAAAATTTAATACATCCTTACAGTAAAAGAAATCTATAAAATACAATTGGATTTTTTGGTAGAATATCCATACTTAGTTAATGTCTAATTGAAAAGCTTAGCTGAGATAACAAATTATTTAAAACACTCAAAAAGAAGTCTTAGTATGATAGATAAATTACTCGAATATTCTCGCAATTAATTTTATAAATTAAAATTTACCAGATATTAATTTGCAAAATATTAATAACTCGAGTAATTAAATTTACAAATAAATATAAATTCTTTTTAAATCTGACAACTAAAAATTTTTCACAAAGAAACAAGTAAACACTCAAAAAGAAATCTTAATATGATAGATAAATTAATCGAATATTATCGCAAAGAATTTTAGAAATTAAAATTTACCAGATATTAATTTACAAAATATTAATAACACGAGTAATTAAGTTTACAAATAAATATAAATTCTTTTTAAATCTGACAAGTAAAAATTTATAACAAAGAAACAAATAAACACTCAAAATTATTTAAAAGAAAAAAATTATGATGGTTACAAATTGAGTAATTAACTTAACTCTTTTTAAATCTGACAATTCAAAATTATAAAAAAATAAATTAAATATTCAAAATTAATTATTTAATAACAAAAAATTTATGGCTATTATGACTTTTTTAAATGTTATAAATTGATTAATTAACTAAATTATTTTTAAATCTAATAATTCATTAAAAATGATAAAATGTTGCAAACAACAGAGGAGACAATAAAATGGCTATTATCTTTTTTTATCTAATCTAAGAATAAAAATCTTAAAATTTAACATATAAATGAAAAAAATTTAATAAAAAATAATATTTTATTCAAATAGAAAGTTAATTGTAATTATTAAACAAAAATTTATCATCCAATAGCTCTAAATAAAGCTTTATTTTTAATGAAAAGAAAACTAAATCTTGATAAAAAAAGCAAAAAAAAACTATCAAAATTTTAAAAATAAAATCAATTTTTAGAAATAAATATTTTATTCTTTTATCTATTTAAAAAGAAATTTCATCAGAAAGTATAAAATATTAATATTTTCTAAAAATAAATTTAAAAAAATTAGTTTATGAGTAAGAATGAGTTATAAAAATTGAATTTAATCTCCAAATCTCAATTAAAATATTTACAATTTAAATATATGGTAAATAATTTATAGCTAAAACATAACTGATTTTTATTAATTAATTGTTTTCTTATTAGCATTTTTTTATTAGTACTTATCACAATCAAGCTTATTTTGAACTGCAAAAATATTCTTTAATAATCAATAAATTAGCAATATCTTAAATTAAAATAGACCAGTCTTAAATAAATAAATAAAATTAATTAATTTACTTAAAATATTTAATAAATATCAAAAGAAAGAATAACAAATAATTTAAATATATTTAAAAAATATCCTTATTTTAATTACTTTAATATTTTCACATTTTTTATATTTTGGATGTCTTTTTGAATTACATCTAATTATTTTTCTTGCATGAAGCTGATAAATGACACAGAAATATTTCTTTTAGGATATATTAGTTGACTGACTAAAGCTTAATAGATCTTTATGGACTAATTGTTTCCTAATTTTCATGACATATTAACATATATCATAACCAAGCTAGAGCTAGGTAAATTGCAAAAAATAATATTATAATTAATAGATAAATACAATTTATTTATTTAAAATATTTAATAGATATCAAAAAAACAACATATAATTAATATGATAATACATTAAAAAAAATATCAATATTTTAATCATTTTAATTTTTTCACATTTTTTATATAGTTTGGATGTCTTTTTGAATTGCATCAAATTACTTTTCTTGCATAGAGTTGATAAATGAGACAGGAATACTTCCTTTAGGATCTACTAGCTGATAGATTTCAAAATGAGTAGCGTTTTCATTAATTTTTTTCAAGTATATAACTCCAAATTTAGCTTCAGCTTTAACAGCATCACTTTTAGGTGCGTTTTGATGGTCATCTATCTGATCTCTTGTAATTAAAATTTCATCTTAGCTTAATCTTCTTAAATGCTAAACACATAAAATTTGGCGTGAGCTCACTACAAATTTGCTTTTAGTTTTAAATAGAGTAACTATTGTGTCTTAATCGATAGTTTCTAGTTTGAGAAATTCATCACACATTTCTCTATTATGCTTCTAACCTTCTAAGTTTTCAAAGTAGAATTTAGCAGCCTTCTCAAAATTCATGGGAGCATTTCCTTCAAATTTAGATAGTTTAACTTCATAACCATGATAAGCAATAGATGACATAGTTGCATTATCAACATGTTTCACTTGTTTCCAATTAGTAATGTTTCTTAAAGCAACATTTTCATTAAATTTGCTATTAATAATATTGCTATACTTATTTCCAATCATTTTATTTATTTATTTATTCAATCTTATTTTTTTTTATTGATTAAGTTCTTTTTGATTGATTTTTGTTGAGGATTTAAAGTAATGATTATTGTAATCTTACAAAATAAAATAAATGATTCTAGAAATAATTAAGGTAATCAGAAAATGTAAAATTTGTACAAAAATATTCTTAAAAATAATAAATTTTCGTAATTACTCATAATTTATTTAGTAGGTCAATAACCAGCAATTGTTTCTATTAAATGCATATTAAATTTTAATGGTTTTATTAAAATACTTAATTCATTTATTTTGATAGATTTTCAACATTTTAATGATTTATTTCAATTCTATTATTAATATAATGGTAAAATGAATGAAAATTTAAGTTAATATTTTTTTATATTTAGCTATTTTATAATTACCAAATATAAATATATTGAGTAATTAGATGAACAAATTAGTATAAATTCTTTTTAAATTTGATGAATTAAAATTACAATAAATTAAAATATAAAGTTAGTATGTAAATGGATAAATTAGTTGAATTTATGATTTACTCTTAATGAATTATTTTGCTTTAAATTATTGTATTCATTTTCATTGAACTATTGAACTTTGTTATGTAAAATAGAAAAAAGGTGAAGCAATTTGGAAATTTAATAATTAAGAATTTATTAGAAACTATTTTTGAAATTAAAAATTTACAAAATTCTTTAAATACAAACTATTGAGTTTGAGTAAATCACTTTTATTAAATATAATCACTGATATAATCCGATTAATTAAAGTTATAATCAAATAAATTAAAAACACAATCACTCTTAATAAATCAATAAATAATATTATTAATATTTTCATATTTTGAATTTGGTTATTGTTATTAGCAGCGTATTTTATGTGTAGCTAAAAAAATACTTGTAAAAACTAAAATAAAATAATTAATTAATTTGTAAATATATTATACTATTAAATTAATAATTTTATTAAATTTGTTTTTAATTTATAATAAATTAATTGCTATAGTTCCTGATTAATTTTCACAACCGCTAACCCCCACGATATTTTTAATCATAAAATGGATTTTCAAATATTAAAAAATAGTTTCAATCAAAAGATGTTTTTAAAATAATATTTTCCATTTAACATTTATCAAACATAAATAAAATAAATAAATAACTTAACTATAAATCAACTTATTTAATGTAAATCTTGCTTGATTGAAAATGTAAATATATGTTTATAAAACTGTTCTATATTTAAAATAAGAGAGATAAATAGATATATAGCGATGAATAATATATTTTATTCATATTTTACAAAAAAGAAAGTCAGCTTAAATTAATCGAATTATAAAATTTCAGTCTTTGAATAAAATTTTTTTTTAATTCTTTTTCAAAGCTTATTCAGTTTTTGTATTAGATTTTTGTTTCGCCTATTTTAATTTAAAAAATTGTTTTATTTAAAAATTTAAAAGAATTTAATTGCTTACTTATTTATTTTTGGTTGCAAATATCCTCATCTTAAATCATTTCAACCTCAAATTCTTAGCTTTCTTACTCAAAGCTATCATTGCATATACCCTATAGTGAATCTGATTCTTAATCAAAACTATTTTCACTAATTTATTCATCATTTAAATTTTTACTTTTACTAATTTAATTATCAACACAAGCTATTTCTTCTTCTTGGGTCTCATAATGTAAAGAATTATCATTTTATTATTTATAACGGTAATTAGAATAATATTTTTCTTTTACTCTTTTTTGATGAAGCATAAGGGACTAGTTCTCATTTGTATATGGTTATTTAAATGTTTTTGTTGATTGATAGATAAATCCATTTTTGAAAATATCTAGTGATAATTTAATTCCATCCTGAGTTTTTTAAAATTAAATATTTGGAAGAATAAAAGTATGAAACTTTTTAGTTTTAAAGAGATTAACATCTTCTTCATATACATCTTCTGGCTCACATTGACAAGATGCGAAATTTATTTCACTTTTAACATTTAACTTTATTTCATCGAAAATAATTCTACCTTAAGATATTTCATTTTGGAATTTATCAGAATCAATTTGAACTTTAATATTTTCGGTATTGATTTTAATCATATTGTCAAAGATTAAAACAGAATTCTAACTTAAAATGTCATTTAATTTTTTTACAGCTAATTTCTTTTCTTATTAAAATGCATCATGTGCTGTATAGCTTTCTCCTAAACCACAATAGCATTTAAAATAAGTAAAATCTTCACAAAGTTAATTTGGTATAAAGTCTTCTAAACACTAAAATTAATTGCTTCTATCTTTTGAAATTTTTTCGTTTTCAAAACTGCATGAATTTATCATATCAAAAATGAATTTATCAATTTCTTCTTGGCTTTTCGAGTAATCAATATTTTTGATAGATTTAGATTGAATATTAACGTTTTTAAGCTCATAAACTTTTCCATTAAAGTAATCTAGAACAATTAAAGAACCAATTAACTATAGTGGAATGTGAGATGGAAACCAATAATAATTACCATCTGTAGCATAGAGGACTTCCAAGTTCCTTTTCAGTAAATAAACTCTCTTTATATCTTTGTCTACATCCTAGATATTGTATCTCATTTTTACACATTAGTTGAATAAATCAGCAGAATATTGCTATTAGCCAATCTCTTTAGTCATATAGCATGCCATATTAAACATTTATGCCACCTTTTAATCATAAAGCAAACCATCCATTTTGTAAATTAATTCTGTTCTAATGAATATCTTATTGTTATCAAAGTAAGCGTTTCCTTCATGCTTGAATTATTAATCAAAAATTATGCAACTATTTTTTTTTATTTTATCAAAAACAATATCCTCAATTTAAAGAGGTGGCTATTCATTTTGAACTTTTTAATTTCCAGTTAAATAAATCAGCATAGTGTATTTTGAATATAAACCTTTTGACTTATCTGCAAATGGGGTATCGTAGTGAGATTTAAATTTCTAATCTCCAGGTGCAAAATTGTTAAGTCTAAAAACAGTGTTCACCTGCCTAAAATTCTTTTTATCAAAAAAATCACTCTCATCAATCATTTTTGTTAAAGCATAAGATAATTGATTTGAGTGGAAAATAAGTCTCTTTCCTCCTCTTTGCGAAACATTCAAAGGGATTGTATAGTAATTTAATTTATCTAATGAAAGAAGAGTATCAGTTGATCCTTAAATAAAAAATGTCTGAACTTTATTCTGAAGTAATCTCACTGTTTTTAGTTTGAATTTAGCATCATCAAAAAGATAATCTAAGTTGAGAATATTTTCAAAATTATGGTATGAAAGATCATCCATACTTACAAAAATAACTGAATAATTATTCACTTCTACAAAGTTATTCTTGTCTAAGAATTTTGTAAGTAAATCTGTTTCAATGAACTTCATAACTTTTCTAGATTCAGTTGGAAAAGGACTAACCTAAATGTTTTGTAATGTAAAACTAAAAAGATCATCAGATATAGTTATATCCTAATCTTATTGATCTAAAGGACCAAACACTAAACGTCGAGTCAGATTTAAAGCTTGTTCTATTTTTTATTAATTAGACATTAAATTAAAAACTTGCTAATTAAAGCAACTTGTTTCAAAAACAAGCTAATTATTTGACATCTTTCTTTAAATAATCTATTATTCTATATTCTATTAAATATAGATAGGATAATTTTTGATAATTCAATATCTTAATCAATCAAATTTTTATGTTTTCTGATAATTTCTATTAAAAAAAGTGCAAAAAAAAAAAATAATAAAAACAAAAACCAAAATAAATTTAATTATTTATTTATATCAAAGTTATCATTAATTATTTTATTTTAAAGAATATATATTTAAAATGGCTTAAAAAACATTATTATTATTCTTATTATTATTATCAAAGTTTTTGAAGAAATAAATTTTATTAGTAGATTTAAGTCATATTTTACTATTAAAGATACATGATCCATTCTTTCTAATACTACATTTATTATAGAATGTTAAAAAAAGCAACAAAAAAAAAAATGAATTTATTTTTAAGGCAAAAATATCAATATAAATACATTATAATAAGTGCTGTATTATGATCTGAAATTTTCGAAAGCAAATTGATACATTTTTTTTTTGTTAATAGATTTTTTTTTAGATAATTTTATGGATTAATTGGCAAAATCACCTTTTTTTTTGATAAACTCTCTTTCAAAATCTGAAATAAATGGGAGGTGGCATATTTAGTTATTAATTTCTTCTACTTTTTATTTATTAATTTACTATATATTATATAGTAATTATTAAATATACTATTAGAACCTATTCAAATAAATATTATATGCAATACAGCTCGATGTCCTTTATAAACATATAATAAAATATTTAATTAGAAGCATTAGACAAACTAATTTTTTGAAAAATTTTAAAAAGGTACTTCTTGTTAATCTTAGAATATACATTTAGAGTTATTATTCAAATATTTTTAATATAAATTTTTATGATAGTCCTTAATCATGTGTAATAAATTAAGTGTAGGTAGGTAGGATAATAATTTAATATTGATTTTATTTCAAACTGAATTATTTAAATTTATCTAAAAAAATAAATATTTTAATTTTGTGTAATCAACTTCAGTAGCTATAAAAGACTGAATTTTATTCTTAATTTATATTATTAGTTTAGGTATCAATAATCTATCGATTTTTTAAATATTTATTTATTAAATAATTTTTTTCTCATTCTGAAATAGATAAATTTAATAGTTATTGAATAAATAATTAAAAATTTAAATAATTAGAGCAGTTAGTTATATGAATATTTATAAAATTTATTTATTTAGTTATGTTTTAAATGAACTTTCAAAAATAATTTGCTTCTACAAGTATTTGAAGAAATTTATAGAAATGGATTGAGTTTTACTATTTTTAAGTAGTTAAAACAGTTATCAAAAAAGTATACAATTTAAGTTTTATTTACTATTTTATTAAAAATAAAAGCATTAATAGATTTTAATTTAATTTATCAGCTTTAATTTTTCTTCACTATAAAATTAATTTCGTCAATCTCTTGGTTTTTAGAAATTTACTTCTCAACATTTATTTGTTTTAATTATAGATATCTTAAAACCTACTAATTTATTAAATAAAATTATTTAAGATAGTGAGATACATTAAAAATTAACTATTTAAATAGATAAATAAAACAGCAATTTAAATCTATTTAAAAATTAAACTAAAAAAATAAAAATAATAAATAAATAAAAACATAAATTAATTAATTTAAATATAAACTATTATTACTGTATTCCTAAAAGATCATATTCCAAGTAAATTGTTAAAACTTTGATAGTTTTAGATTTCGATAAACTACAAAGAAAGATTTCTACGTCTACAGAATAAATTTTATTGCTCCTTTTAAAATTTCCAGATTAATATATTAGTTAATTAATTATGAAAAGCTTGTCAAAATCAAATTCGAAAAATTATTTTTAAATTTTAAAATCAATAAAAAATTTTATAAAACATTTAAGTTTGAATTAAAAATCTACAAGATTAATAATAATTTAGTAAAATTTTTAATAATTTTCAATGATTTATTATTTTTTTGCTTATTTAATATATATAAATAAAGGTAAATAAATTTTTTTTACGTAAGATAAAGTTCTAAAATTGAGAGATTAATGTAATTAGCTAAAGAAGAACTTAATTCTTATATTCCTTATCTATTTATTCTATTTTCCCTTTTGAAATTTGTAATTAATTTATTATAACAAGAAATTAAGTAAAATTTATTATTTGGTGAAAGCGAATAATTTAAAAATTTATATTTTTAAATAAGCAAATAAAACATTTTTACTCAAGATACAGTTTCAAAATTGAGAGCTTAGCGCAATTTGCTAAACTATAGCCAATGCTTGATGCTCCTGTATTATCAATTTTGTTGCCTCTTTTTATATTATTGATATTTATTATTTAATAATTAATTAATTTTTAAAATTGTAGCAAAAATTAAAATTTAATAAGTAAAAATTTCTAAATGAAATTGTTAATTTTAAGTATTAATAAAATAAATTTTTTAAAATAAAATGGCAAAAAAATTTTTGAGTATTAATTAAGGAAATAAAGCTTTTATTACTATAGATAAAGCATTAAACTTACAAGATTTATGCAATTTGCTAAACTAATCACTAAACCTGATGTTCCCTCATCACTTATTGAATTTTGCCTTTTTTTTATTTGGCAAATCAGTGAGTTACATTCAAAAAATATAAAATAATAAATTAGTGATCAAATGTTATTAAAAAAATTAATTAACGACTCAACTAAATATCTAAAATTTATTTGTTATATTTTCTACTTTTTCATTATTTAAACTAGTATTACAATATATTTTTAACAATAAACTATTTTTACTCAAGTTAAAGCATCAAATTTTAGATATTAGTGCAATAAGCTAAACCATAACCTAAGTTCTAAGCACCCTATTCATCAATTTTATTCCTCCTTATATAGTTTTAAAGATAAATTTAGTTAATAGACATGATAAAAATAGGAGAAGAATTAAATAAATAAATAAAAATGATAAATTAAAAACAGAAAAGTAATTATCAAATCTAATACAAAAATTAAATATTATCTATTTTTTTAAATATTTTTTGTTATTGATGCCAAAATTACAGATTATATTTTAAATATAAAATAATTTTTACTTAAGATTGAGGGACAAATTTTAGAGATTATTACACCTTGCTAAACCTTAACTTAAGACTAAAACGCCCTCATTACCTATTTGATTATTTCTATTTATATTAATAGAGTAATTTTATTAGTTAATCTCAAAAAAATTTAGGTGAATATCAACAAAAATAAATAAAAGATTTATAGATAATAAATAAATTTAAGTTAAATTTAAATCAAAGTAGAGCAAGTTAAATTATTAAAAAATAAAATATTTAAATAAAAATTAAAAAATTCCTACTTTTAATAATCAAAATTAATAAAAAAAATAAATTAATAAAAGTAAATAATCAAACTTTACGCTAAACTAAAATTCAATACTTATATATTATTGCACTTATATAAATAATAGCCTAACCATTGTGTACCAATATCACCAATCAAAGTTTATCTTTGTTGTTTTAAAAAAAATTTTTAAATATAATTAGAATTTAAATAAAAATTAAACAAACTCTTAAAATTTTTTAATTTTTTAAGAGTTTCTTTAATTACTTATAAATAAAAGTTAATAGCTTAATTTTACGAAAGGTATAGAGTTAAATTTTGGAGATTAGTACACTTTTCTAAGTAAGAACTTAATTTAGTAATGCCATTTGGACCAATTTAATTATCTCTTACATTTTTTATAATTAAAAGATAAATTTATGGATATAGTGAGGAATTAATTAAGTGCGAATTCAATAAAAATGAAAGCTTTGAAATTGAAAATAATAACTTAAAATTAAAAGTAGAAATATTTTTTATTAAATAAAATAAATTAAAAAGTATTTTGAAAATTTACTTTCAATTTTCCTTTTAAAACTGATTATTAAATATATTTAAAAATAGAATAAACTATTTACGTAAGATAAAGAGTTAAAGTTTACAGCTTAGAACATATTTTTAACTCAGAAACTAAGTTTTATGAGCTCAATGCGTCAATTCTATTACTCCTTTTAAAATATAAAATAAATTTCTTTGTTTGAAAATTAAAAGAAAATAAGTGAATTAACAAGTAAAGAACATAGAGCTATAAAAATTATCTTAGACATTAATTAAATATAAATAGTGCCAATAATTTATTAAAATAATAAATTAATTTACGTAAGGTTAATAGATAAATTTTAGAGATTAGGGCAGTTTGAGAGTCCAAAGCCTAATTCTAATGCACCCTCTTCACTAATTGAATTTTTTCTTTTAAATTTCATAAATTAATAATTTTAAAGTCATAAGAAATTATTATATATTTATTTTAAACATCAAACTATTTAAACTTGTAAATGAATATACAGTAGAGGTTCATATATTAAGATAGACCTTTATTAAAAATTTCGAAAATTATTTTAATTATCTTCCCTCGGACGGCATCTTTTGACTCATACCGAGGAGAGTGAGGTAAAGAGGAATTATGGTACTAAAATAAATAGTTATAAAGCTAAAAATAAAAGTTAATTTTTACTATAGATTTAATGTCAAATTTTAGAGATGAGGGCACTTTGATAATCCATTAACTAAAGCAGATATACCTTAGTTACCAACTGAATTATATCTTTTGTATTAAAAATGTATATAACAATTGAAGAAAGCAGTAGAGTAGAATTAAATTTATAAAAAAAAATAAATAATTTCAAAAATTGATTAAATATTTTGCTTTCATTTCTTTTTTTTATTTTTATTATTAAATCAGATAAATCAAAAATTTTAATAAATAATAATTATTATACTAGAGATTGCATGTGAAAGTTGTCAGATTATTATATTTCGTTATAGCATTTGCTAAGTATTAGGCGCCTTATGCACTAATTTAATTATTACTTTTAATAATGTTAATAAATAAACATGAAAATAGAGTAATTATGAATAATAAATAAAAAATGATACAAAATTTATAAATTCAACTAAATAGGGTAAGCTATTTATAAAAATTAATTTATATATTAATATTTTATTTAATGCTTTATCATATCATCAAATAAATACTACAAAATAAATATAAAAAGAAATAAACTATTTTTACTAGAGATCAAGAGTCAATATTGAGAGATTAATGCACTTTTCTAAGCCAAAACTCAACTCCTATGCAGCCTTAGCACCAATTTAATTATAGCTTTTAGTTTTTTGAGATAAATTTATAAAATCTATTACTTAAGATTTTTTTTACCTCAAGTTTATTTCAATATTTGAGTGAGATGAATGTTTAGATTTTAAAAACTTTTTGTTTTATTAAAAAAAATTATATTATAAATATGAAATAAATTGAGAAATTACATCTTTTAATTTATTAAATTGCTATTTCTATTATATCATTCTTTTCTTTTTAATATTTAAATGAAAAATTTAATTAATTACAAATCAACAACTATTTAATAATTAATTTCATAATCTAATCAAAAAAATATTAAACTTAATTTATTATTATAATAATACAATTACTCTTAATCATTTATTTTGATTTCTAAATAGGCTATGGATGAATTCTATTGCCATTTTTACCTAATTAGTAAAACTATATTAATTTCTTACAAAATTCCAACACATATCACTCAAATTAATCTAAAATTGAATTCTGAAGAATATTATGAATTATAGTATAAGGCCTTCTAAATATTCGGTAAATAATTTTTAAGTAATAAAAATTTTCAACAGGATTTAACAAGATGTCATATCTCAGCTAATACCTCACTCATCTAATTTCTTAAAGTAGGAATATAAAGATTTAAATTTTATAATAAAGTCGAAAAGGTGTTAATTTAAGACCAATAATAAGAGTTTGGGTTTATATCAGACTTGAGCTCATTTAAAATCAACATAATCATTAAAAGAATATATAATATCTACCTAGTAAGATAAGAAAAATAGTAAATAAATATAAAGATTAAATGGGGTATTGAGAAATATTCCTATTTTTAGATACATTCATATAAATTTATTCTAATTATGATAACAATTTAATTACCATTGAAAATAAAATAAATGCTATTTTGAGTAAGATTTTATTCATATCTGTATTTTAATATAACTTAATTTTAATTTTAAAAAATTATTTATTTTTGAAATTATAATGAATTAATTGCAAATAAAAAGAGTTTAAGCATATATCAAAGATGAACTCACTTAAAACCAGCAGAAGCAATGAAAGAATATATGAATCGCTACCTAATAAAATAAGAAAAATAATAGATAAATATGGAGATTAAATGAGTTATTGAGACATATTCCTATTTTAGATTCATTCTTATAAATTTATTACAATAATGCTAACAATTCAATTATTGTTGAAAATAAAATAAATGCTATTTTTGAGTAATATTTTATTCATATTTGTTGTTTAATATAACTTTTTTTAAAATATCAAACTTTTAACCTCTACTTGCATCGTACTAAACAACTATTTTGAATATATAATATATTTATTGAATATGATGATCAAAATTAATTATTTCATTGAATTCACAATTGTTGACGAATTTGATGAAAAGAAGAACCATAACTTATTTCCTGTTTATATATGATTCAGGAGTTGAAATTCTTGCTTTTTAGCATCCAAGAGAATTTAATAACTGGAAAAGCAGTTATAAAAATGTAAAAATACAAATAGTAGATTTTTAAAAATTAAGTTTGATATCTTAATTAATTTATTTTTCTAAAGTTATAATACACTAAATTAATCATGTAATAATTAAAAAATAAATTAGATTAATTATTTTATTTATAATATTATTCTGAAATTTAATTTCGATTATCTAATATCATTAAAAATGATGTAACAATCAGATAAAAATTTCAAAGTAATCTTAAAAATTACCTTTTTTTTAAACTTTTAATATTCAGTTTTTTAATCATTTTAAAAATTTTATCTATTTTCATCGTTTATTCTTTAAAATATTTTAAATTTATTTAATATAAGGAATGAATTGATGTTGGTAAAATACATCAATTTATTAATGCGAAATGTCAAAGAAATATAGAAATCTTACTTACTTACTTCTATATTTAGAAGTATGAAAGTTAAGAAAAAGACATTCTTATTATATTTTGAATAATTATATAGATATGTAAAATAATGCCTATGAATTTGATTTACAAAAACTAAATAAATTCCATTAATGAAAACCACAAATTAGAAATCTTTAACTTTTTAATTGAAATTATTGTAATCAAATAGAATACAGCAAAATTTTTTATAATTAATTAGTTTACAGTGAAGAATATTTAGAAGATTAAGAATTTCGAAAAGAGGAAAAACAAACATAAAAAAATATTAAAAGTTTTTTTTGCTTCTAATAATACTCATAAATAATTGAATAAGAAAAAGGTAATATATGGGTGTCAAAAGTTAAATTTAACAAAAATAAGGGAGAAGATTATTTATTTTAGCAGTTTAGCTATTCTTAATTCTTTAATATACTGAAAAAACAGGAGCTAGTTATTTGCCTTTAAAGTATTTTTAAACAGAATCTATTGATATTGCTGAGCATCAACCATGCTTATAATTACCAGATAATTAATCAACAACCATTTTATTTTAATAATTGTTTCCTAGTAAATAGCAGGTGTAAAGAATTGCCATAACATTTATAACAGCGTTCTTTGGGTATAGCGCCTATAGCTATACTCTATTTTCTATTCATCAATCTAACATTGCAATATCTCTTGATTACAATTTACAATCAAAAAAGATATTTTTAAAAGTAAATGAAAAGTCTCAAGAAACTGATTACTCAGCTTTAGCTATTGAAAATTGGTTTTTTATAAACTTAGATATTTAGCTGGTTGATAGTAAAATTGAAGTTTTATTCTAGATTCATTTATCTTCTTCTGGAAACACACAGATTCCTCTTACATACCCTTTTTTAGGTTAATTTATACAAAGTGAGCTTGAAATAAATTATGGCAACCCTCCAATAAGACTTGGTGTTAATCCATCATGTTAATTAATATCTCATTTGATGATAGGAGTGGCATATTAAACAACACCTCCTTCATATAATGATATATTCTACTAATTATTCTAAGTAAAAACAAACTTAATACTTAGCTATGATTTTTTCTATACTTAGAGTAACCCTGGAGAGTTAATTAGTGATATAGGAGATTAGTTTCTGAAAATAAAATTGTAAAATTAACAATTAAATAATACCATCAGCATAAATAGCAATTTTATTTTAACTAATTAGCATGAAACTAATAATTAAATAACTTTTTCTTTTTATATTAAATTTAATACACTTCCAACTACTATTTCTACTTATCTATAAATATTCTTTGATAAGCACAGCTATGATTTACAGTTTGGAAATAACTAAATTAAATTTGGAACATAAACCATAAATTAAAATATTTAGATATGGAATCACATATTAATTATTTAATAATACTATCTCTATTTATTTGTGAATGGAATTGAACAAATTAGTTTTGTAAATAATATTCCTGTTTTTACATTTAAATATTTTTTTTATTCAAATGACTCTTCTTTTTAGCTAAATCATATCAGAATTTATACAGGTTCATTGCTCTCATAAGGAGCTAACTGCTTTCTTAAAAGCTCTGATGGCTCATGCGTATTATGTATGGATGATTATTTACTTGATTTCTAAAATAAAATGAAATGTGTTCCTAAAAGTGCTATCAATACTGATAATGAAATTCCAGGAGTGAAAGATTGGAATCCTCCTAGAAAGGTGTGTCCTAAAAATATGATTAATGATAATTCATCTATAACTGGATGTAAATGCTTGATAGGCTATTACTTTGATGGAAATAATTGTGTGAAATGTCCAAAATATTGCAGATATTGTAATAGTTTGTAAGATTGCAACTAACAAAGAGATGAAAATGGTAATTGTTAAAACAAAGATGCTTTTGACAACGGATAAAGCTGCTTAATACCTCTATTTACAATTCCTCATAGATAAAATATCAGGAAGTTTGAGTCTCTTCCTGATTTTGGATAAACTTGCGCCTAAATGGACACAAATTTATAAAACTTTATCTTTGCAAAAGATTAGTTAAAATTTAATTTAGGAGATTCTATATTCTTTTCTTTTTATTTGGTTGCAAAAACAATTAATAACATTTTTAATGAAATTAACATCGCGAATATATAAGATGGTAATAATTAGATAATCAAAATCACTCTTAGTTGCCAAATAGTTAATTCTTATTATATTTTATTCCTCAAATTTTATGTCAAAGATTAATTAAAAAAACAGTATATTTTTGACTAAAATGACTTTGCTTGGATTGCTTTTTGGACTGATAATAACAATTTTGTTTTTATGATGAGTACTAATTAATACAATTACTATGATCAATTGGAAGGGACATTTTTATTTATTTTATCCTCAAACATATAGATTTGTGTTGGGAGATGCGATACAAATTTAATTAATGGGTGCTTATCCTTGACTAACTTTCCAATAACAATTGTTAAAAATATTCCATATCCAACTTAGTAAGGAATAAATTAATTTTTTTCTATATTATTGAATGATTATTAATTAATTGGTAGATATAAGCTTGATATCAATTAGTCCAATCCTTTTAGCAGCATCAGTGATAGTAGTGGTTAGCCATCTTAATCTCAGCTTCAATTTAGCAATCCAGTGCAAATTTTTAACTAATTTTAAGGGTTTTAATTAGATTAAAATATTGTAGCTTCCATAACCTATCCAGCAAATTAATATGGTGACCTATTCAATTTATCTTTTAACATTGAGTTTGACTCATCATTTTAATATCAGTCCTTTTAATTACTAAAAATTACAAACTAAAACACTTTCTTAAGCCTCTTTCTTGTTCCAGATTATGATCAATAAATTATGGTTGTCCAAATTTATTATATAAATGTATCTAAAACATTTAAAAATGCAGTCTTACTTTTGAATTAATCTAACTTTTTTTTAATTGCTGCAAGAGTGGAAACTAAGAAATAGGTTATCGTAACCTTTTATATAGATATAGTTTGTAATTATATCAAAGAAACATTCGAAGTAGTGGTAAATCCAGGAAATTCAATCTATTAAATAGATTTTGGTGATAATACAACTTAATACAAAGTATTTATAGATAATATCAATATATACTAGCAAAATGTTTTTCTTTACTATGACTATACTAATATTGATCCTTGCTTTGTTTATGTGAATTTGGCATATATGAATTGCTTGTACTTAAAGAGAGGGTATTTATATTATAATAATCAAATCATTACTTTTGAACAATGCTCTAATATGTCCCAATTAAACTAAGCTTCTTACATGAATTTAAAAGACTAAACTTGTAATATTAAAGTTCCATAAAATTTTTCTGAATACTTATGTGCTCTAATGAGTTATGAAAATAATAAGTTTGTATGCTCATTATGTAAAGATGGGAATGCAGATCCTAATTTAAATTGCCTTGTTTGCAAAAAATCATATTTCTTTGATAGTTTAACTAATAAATGCCAATAATGTGATGCTTAGTGCTTAGCATGTAAAGATAAGAGTAGTAATTGTGTTGATTGCAAATATATTAACTAAATTACACCTAGCTGTGACTGTATTTCAGTCAAGTAGACATAATAGAATACATGCTAATGTAATTATAAATGTGGATCATGCAGTGGTATAGACAATAATATTTGTAAAACTTGCTCTTCAGATAGAAGGGTTATGCCAAATTGTGATTGTAATCAAATATATGAAGAAAAATCAAAAGAATGTGTTGAAATTTAAAATCAAATAAATTGTGATTAAAAATGTTAGTACTGCATTAATACAACCGATAATTGTACAATTTGCTCTAAAAACAGAATAAATCCGCCTTCATGTTACTGTGAGTATGGTTATGAAGAACTATCTGATGGTAGTTGCTCTCCATGCTAAAAAGGTTTTTTGTACGATTCAATATCTAGAAAATGTAAAGCTTGTAGCTATAATTCACAGTTAGGATCAGGATTAAATACATAATAATAATGTCTTAAAAGCTTAAATATTACTTATAATAATAGTTTTCAAGAAAAAAAAAAATATTACTTGAGATTTACTTTCGATAAAAATTTATAGATTTTTAATCTATCTGGAACAGAGCTAAATAAAATTGCTTCATTTTATATTCCTGAAATAAAAAATAGCTCATATTCAATAATCAACCCTCAATTTATATAAAATTAATTTTAAGTTGAGATAAATGTAAAAGCTAACTTCTAAGCAGATTATATTTTTGCAACCTTTCTAACTAATAAATACTTCTTAAGCTAAGATTAAGAATTTATTTTAAATGAAAAATATTTGAACACTTAAATGAAAATTAAAATAGGGCCATTTATATTTAAACAAGAAATTTTAGAAAATTAAGCAACTTTAGATGACGTATCAAGTTAATTAAATGAGTTTAAGTCCTCAAATAAAAATATTTTCTCAATAATTAATTAATTCTAAGTTGTTTTCTATGTCTTGAACACCCTACAACCAGTTTCTATATTTCTTTTGCTAAACGCTATTTATCCTCCTTAACTATATTAATTTTATTAAATTGTAGGGACTTTTGTATTCCCATAAGTACCTGATTACCTAAGCGAAATAGATAACATATAGTTCAGTCTCTTTAGCTATCAATTATAAGGTAAAGATGCTTAGTAACCTAATTTTGGTAAATTTAAAAACTTAGGATTTTGTCAAAGTATCATAGTGAACATACCTATTCTATTAATTAAATATTTTTCAATTTTATTCTTGATATTTTTAATAATATTTATACAGCTTTTCTTATTTAAGTAACAAATGACTCTTTAGAAGTTAAAAACTTTTTTAATTCAAAGATTGAATAGCGATTAAGAAACAACTTTAGCTATAATCTTCATCTGTATCTTTATTTAGTTTTAAGAAATAAATGGAGAATCTTACATTTATCGAATGGGATTCTATGTATCAATAATACTTGTACTAACTTAAGTCTTAATGTTCAAATTTAATACACAAAATTTAAAGAGCAATAATCCGATTTAAAAGGAGTATTCTAGTATGTACATTGAGCGTATTTAAGAAAACAGTAGTTTTTTTGGGACATATTACTTTTAAATTCAAACAATAAAAAAATATGCTTATCTAGCCGTTGTATGCATCTTATATAAATATCCAACTCTAATATGCTCTATTTGTGGTGTTATTTTTTTAATTTCAGCTTTTTAAACAATATGGGTAAAAGCTTATAAATAAAAATTCAGTAGGATCATTAAATTTCTAGGAGAAATTATATTTTCTACAGTTTGGTTTATACATATACCCATTATTAATTTAGAATAAAAATTTAAAGTAGATAAAGTTATTGATGATGATTTACTTTCATAGTACATTTTAATTGGAAATGTAGCTTTGTGGCTTTTAGTGACATATAATTGCTTATTTTTAGCACAATTTATTTTAGATAATTTCACTTTAGTAAAAAGTATATTTAGTGATAATAAAAAAGATACATAAAATAATAATTAAATATTGAGGAATAAAAATATTCTTTAACGTTAAATATCAACTTAAAATAATTATAAATAAATTTGATTTATATAAAAAACAAATTTATATTATTTTCATCTAGTTTGACAATGAATTTAAACATAAATTTTTTTATTAAATGTTAAAAATGGTCAAAATTATTACTTTTGTATGAGGCATTAATAAAAAAATTGTTTTTTAAGAATTTTAACATAATTTATGTTATGTTTTATTGTAAAAATTATATTTGGATGAATTATTATAAAATTAAATAATAAATTAATTTTTATTTTTTAGAAGTTAATTACTCTCATTAATTAAGGTTTTTAGAAAGTTAATTTTAAGTTAGTTTTTAATACTCTGATTTAAGTTTTTCTAAAAATTTTCAAGGGCACGTCAATAATATATATTTATTTGTTAAAATTAAGGTAAATGATTAACTGATGAAGTGATCTATAAAATATATAAAAGAATTTACATTTTATAATATAAAAAGTAGAACAAGTAATATAATTAAAGTTTTTTAGCTATAATTAAAGATATTTCGAAAGTAATATATAAGAGTTAGTTAGTTAGTTAGTTATTTAGTGAATTAGTTATAAGAAAGTAAGAGGAGTATCTTTTCAGTATTAAATTAATTTAAAAATTTTAACATAATTTATTAGTTTTGTTTCTTATGCCAACAATTTATTTATTTTATTATGAATTAATTAGTTTAAAATATTTTAAGATTTAACAAAGTAAATTTTGTTTGTAAAGAGCTCTATTTACTTATTTTTTTTTTATCATATTGCTTCATTTATTTATTATTTTTTCTCTTTAGGACTTGGATTTAGATCTAATGAAGAGCTTTTTTTTCTATTTTCTTAATGCATGATGTCAATGTTAGCACAGCATGCCTTAAGGACAAGTTTTTAAGGAGATTATTTAATTTAATAATTTATTTCAGGAGAAAGAGTTTAGCTTTGAGAAAATTAATTAGAAGGAGATTCTGTGCAAGATAAAGTAATTTCAGTAATATTGTTATTGTTATCAGTCTATTATTTATTACCTTTCACAATCATTATTTTTTGGCTCTCATTGAAGCGATCAGTAATGTTTGGCTATTCTTTATTTTTTTCTGGAGAATAACATCTAACTGTAAATCCGCTTTATCCAAAATTTTGAGAAGTAGAACAAATTTACATAATAGTTTCTTCTGTACTACCATTACACTTGTTATTACTTCCCTAACTAATATTATTTGCTTCTTTTTTCTCAGCTGGTTTTTCTTCTTCACTGAGATGGAGTTCGTCTTAGCATCCTGGAATTTGTAGGGTAATCTAATCTTTAAGAATATCTTTACTTTTCCTTTTGTTGTTTTCTTCATTTTGAGTTTATTTTTGCCCCTCATTTTCTTCATCGGACGAGTCTCCACTGCTTTCAGTTTCATAGTAGTACTCGTATTCTGACTCACCTGACTGTTCCCCACTTTTGCTTTATTCTTTTTCATCAGGCTTTGCCTCAGTTGAGTCAGTAAATTGAGTTGATTTTCTTTTGTTTTAAATTGCTCTATTTTCTAAATTGGCTAAAATAGAATTTCTATGTGAGTGTCTTTTGGAAGATGATTTAGAAGATCTTTTAATAAACTCTGCTCCTAAAAGGTTCTTTGGCTTTATTTTTTCGCTTTGAAATATGCCATCATTTTCTACTAAAGATTTGATATTACTTTCAAGATCTAACTTATAATCATCTAAATTATTGTCTAAATTCTTGTTTTTTGAATTTATTTCTAAAGAATTTTCCTTGTTTGTTGATTCTACGTCTGGCTTTTTTGAATGGATTATAGGAGTTATTTGTACGTCATGAATAGGAATTATTTTGTTTGATTTTGGCAAATAAGGAGATCTATCAGCAATAATAAAAGGTGAGTGATTAGTCATAATAAAAGGAGACCTATTATTATTTTAATTCTATTAGGAAGCATCTAAATTATTAGATTGCTGATTTGACCTAAGAGGATTATTATTAATGTTACTAATGGCATCATTATTAATACTAGAAATTACACTTTACTAATCTTAATCTCCATTAATTTGTTAATTATTATTTTCTTGATCTCTTTATTGAGATTATGTATCATTATTTTCTAAATTACCTATTGAACTGCTGTTTACAAATGAATTATTAATCAGATTATTGTTAAAATCATTTCCATTGTCTACAATACTTAAATTGTTATAGACAGATAATTAATTTAATTCAATTAATGTTGTATCAACAATCTATAAGCTTACAGATTTGCTTTGATCTGATTAATTACCTTGCTAATTTAATTAAGTTCCTACTACCAAGCCTTAAGGAATTTTAAGCCCAAATTTAGGAATTATTTTTTGATTCTAGTGAAGGATAGCCGAACCTTCTACAACAAATATTTTATCAGGATCAGTGATACGAGACTAAAGTACATCTTAATGGTCAGCATTTTGAGCAGGATTTTATTCCTAGCTAGGATGAATTTGGCCAGGTATTATTATTACTTCTTGTCTCCTTCTGTGATAAATAGAGCACCAAATGTACATTGCAACTCCTAGCGCTAGAGCAACAAAAATACTTATCGAAACAAAAATAGCTTCTATTTTCATCTCATCATTATTACTTTAATCTCCATTCTAGCTGCTTTAGAGGTTTTAAATTACTTGTTTTGTGCACTGAATTCTACAATTATAGTAGCCAGAGACAACTTCTTTGTCACTTTCTGAGAGTCCTTAAATGACAGGGTTTAGACAATCTTAATTACATTTTTAGTAATTTTTAAAGTTATCTATTTACAGCATTGGTTCGCAGATTGTGTTTGCACAATAATCGAATCCTTAACAAATATTAATTAAATCATCATCTTGATAAATACATTGCCTTTAAACGCAATTCATCACATTATTTTGAATTGTAGTGCTTTAATTGATATCAACATCAAGAAATCTGCAAAAAACTATCTTAAATATTATAAGTAATCCAAGCCATTTCATTTTAAATGCTAATATTATAACGACTTGCTTCTTCCTTAAAGTAATTATTAATGATGTAACTATTTTTATTGTTGATAATTAAACCTAACTTAAAAAGACTTTGTTCGATTCAAATATCTGGATTATTTTTTATTTATTTTTGATATAAGTTATATGAGTGATATTGTTTTTAAATTTGAAATTTTGAAAATGTTGCTATTTACTAATTGTATTTCTATTATAAGACTCTCAAATTCAAAACTCTTGAATGTACTTTATCTTATTTTTTCAATACTTTTTGACTACACTTTAATTAAAAAATAAGTATAATTATAATTTGTTTGTGATCAATATGTTAACTTGATTTTTTTCTTTTACTATTTTTTTTTCATTTGATAAAATTTTACTTGAATATGTAATCAATTAATGGAGATAGAGACTATTTTGATAATTCATATTGATTAATATCTATCCTACATACTTAAACAAAGAGATACGCATATTTTATCATTCAAAATTTGTATTTTCAGGATCAGAGATTAATTATTTTTTGATAATATTGAATGAACATAATTTATTATTAAAAACGCAAAATTTATAAAATCTAGTGGTATTTTCAATAATAAATTCAAGAGATTACTTATTATGTTTTCATTGTCATCATTTTTACAAACTATTTAAATATCTATTTCTTATATAAATTCTTATCCTGTATTATCTAAAATCTGATGCATTCGTCATTAATTTCTACTAGATTACTTTGAATTTTTGCAATACATATATATTATCCAATCACTTTTCTCTCTGTAACACACAAATTACATCAATATTTTATTCTATATAAATTACAATTTTTAAGAAATAATTATTCTCTTGTATTTTTTTGAACATAAAAGGCTGTAAATCCTTTCTAAATAATATTAAATAATGAAAAAATATAAACACTTACATTTTATAATAAAAAATAAAAGTAAACATTAAGTTTTGCATAAATATTCATTTTAAAATAAAAGAAGAAAAAATATTTTTAAAATAAAAATAAAAGAAAAAGGCTAAATTTATTAATTAAGAACCTCTTCAAAATAAAAAATAAAATTCAGGATATTATTTAAGATCGAATCTGAATAAATTCGAGAGAATGTATAAAATTAATAAATTGTAAATTCCTTTATAGATTCAAATCAATGATAATTTTACTTTCATAGAAGGATTTGACAATGAATATTTACAGTTTACTAATTTTAAAAATTAAAAGTCTGTTTTTATCCATAAATTTTATCAATAGTAAGATAGAGCATTAGAAATCGATCATTTTGATTGTAAAAGTCTATCAATGCAAATTTATGAAAAAAAATAAAGAATGTGATAAATCTAGAACTATTTACTTTAATTTTCAATCAAAGTGTTGATACAAAAGAAATATTGGTGTATGTAAATTATATTTTTCTATTTAAGTTAGAAAACTATTAAGAAGTCATCCATAAATCTTGTTGGGATCACTAATTATCATACTAATGTAAAGTTATTTGATGATAATTAAAAAAAAGAATTTTATCAATAACCTTTATTTATGATTTGATTAAGATACACCAATACATAAACTTTAAACTATATTTACTGATGATATTCATCTATAAAAATTAATTTTTAATTTGATTTCACTTAATAGAATTGAATTAATCCTCTCTCTTAAAAAACAAATCTACACTCAAAGAGCGATTCAATTCGAAAAATTCACCCTAAGAATTACTATTGTTTCTATTACGATTATCAATATCTGTGTGTTTTCTGACTACATTATCTTAAAGCAGAGCATATTTGTATAGCTCATTAGCCAAATTCTTATGAGCCTTTTTCTAGCGGAAAGAATTAGAAGCCATTAACTATGAAGATCTTTCTTGTCTACTATCATTTACTTTTTCAACTCTGTTGAATTTACTCTATAACTTGTCTTTGAGTTTGTCAATTTTGTTTTCACTCTTAGCTTAGTTATTCTCCATGAACTTTTATATTTTATCTAATCTCTTTTGAAAGGTTTCTTGCTTTACTTTTATTGATTTTCTCAAGGCCTTATCTCTCTCTTCTGTTTTTTAAATTCTTTTAAGCTCATTTTCACAAAGCTTTTAAATGTTTTAATTGCCATCATTCTCCTTTAAACACATCGAATTAGAAATAGTCTCATCGTACTTCTAATTTAAACTATGAAATTTTTAACCTAGGACTATTTTTTATCTTCTGACATTGTTCTCAGCTGTTATCTCTTTTTTTTCAATCTACTAAATGAGTTACAATCTTTTCAGTTGTTCTTCTTAATCTTTTTACTCTCTTTTTTTCATTATTTCAGTTATTTGATGCTTTTTTTACTCTCTAATTCTAACCAAATCCAATTGTCTCTTTTCTTCTCTTTTCCTTTTCAATTCTTCGTACTTTTCTCCAGTTGCATCAACATCAAGCAATTTCTTCTCAATCATCATCTCCTATTTCTCTTGAAATCTTTTAACTTTTTCTTGAGCATTCTTAATTTTTAAACCTAATTCTTTAGCTTTCAGTTCAGTTTCTTTTTAGAGCTAAATCTTCCTTTAAGCTATTTTTCTTTCTATTTCCAAGATATTTTCTTCCTGATATTTTTTTTACTAGACAACCTTTTTAATGAAATAAATAATATTTCATTAATATGAATTGAAATTTAACGCAACTAATTATCATAAAACTTCAAATCCAAAAAGCAAATCAATAAATTTTTATATTAATTGATAATAATTAAAAATAATTAGTTTTTGCATGATAAATCAAGAAATATATTGCATTTTTAAGTAAATATATTGCATTATTAAGTAATTATTTTGCATATTAATAGTACAAAAGACTTTGATCTTGTTTGGAATTTGAATTAAATAATTGATTAGTAAATCGAATAAATAATCTTCTAAGTAGATAAATAATAGAAGAGTGATGCTTTTAAATATCAATCAATTAATTTAGTTTTAAATATAGATGTAAAAATTTACTTCGTGTATTTATTATCCTTTTACAAAGTCAACAACCTAGCCATATTTTCCATATTTTTGTATGCTGTTATTCTTTTTTTCATCTATGGTCTTATGCATTCTTGATTTCTCCAAAAGATAACTCGTGCTTTTATTCATTTTTGAGCTATTCAAAATTTTACTTCTGCTATTTGGATCTGTAGTTGTTGTTCCCCAACCAGATATCTCATCATTGTATTCGCTGATGTTCTCATTTATGCCTAAGTGCAGATAATTGAATTTATTACTATTCCTCAAAGCAGTCATGTTATTCTGCTCTTTTTTTAATCTATTACGTTCGTTAATAATCATTTTTAGCTTGTTGTAATGCTCTGTTAAATAGTATAAATAACTCACTATGTTTTTTAGAGTACTGAATGATTATGAAGAAAACTCATAATATGTAAGAGTTTTTGCTTCGGACTCTTCTATTTTTAAATTTTTTAATGCTCTCTTTGTTAATGGAGAATTAAGATTAAAGTCTGCAAAAAAAGCTGAATATTTATTTGGATTTATTATCAGTTTGTCTCTGTATTACTATGGTAGAATATCTTACTTAATTGCTTCATCTAATACACTTACAGATATTTCAGGAAACTTTTCTTTTGTTTTTCCTTAATTAGCAATTATGGAATCAGATTTCATCTTTACATTTTCGTTAATCTCCCCTTCACTTTATTATTAAATTGTTGATGTAGGAGACTATAAATCTATTATTTAAATGGTAGAATTCATACAATTAACTATTCTTCTTTATTTATTATTTACTATAATCAATTATTACTTAGTAATTTAATTAAATTAACAGTTTTTCAAATCAACACTCTCTTAATCGCTTCTTACTTAATGTGTTCTTGCATAATTTGTATTTCTTTATCCATACCTTTAAGAAGCATATAGTATCTTTTAGTGTAAAATAGTATTACTTTATTTGTACTCATTTATGTCATTTCAATAGTGGAATTCACCAAGCAATTAATATATCTTATTCATCTCAAAAATTTTTAAATTAATGATTATCTTCAGTGTTATTCAATACATTCAAAATAAAATGAATTTTTTTTTTTCAATAACAATTAATATTAAGTGAAATTGATTATCTTTTAATTCTTTTTAAAACAAATAATTTATTATAAACAAAATTTTATTAATTTTAAAAAGAATTTGAATTAAAATAAAAAAATTCAATATATAAAAAATCGGAAATTTATTATTTCATTATATTTCAAAGAATATTAAAAAGTAAATAATTTTAATAAATGATACAATAAATATTAGATAGAATATTGTAAGTAAATAATTAATTTCTTTAATATTTCCTTCTTGAATATTAATTAGAGTTTGTCTTCTTTCAGTAATTTACTCCTAACTTGATATTCAAATGTAAGATCATTATGTTTTGAATCGTTTTTTCATCTTTTTTAGATAAGTTAACTTTTAATAAAACTAATTGAAAAATTATTTACCTAATTTATCACCTTTTTTAGTGATCAAGTTTCCTATAGCTGAAAAGATTCTCTCTATAATTTTTTATCATAATAAATAATATGACATAGAGTAACCATATTAAACAACAAGAGTTAAAAATTCTATCTTCTAATAAAAAAGTATTACTGTAATCCTAATTACTTTCCCCCACTATATAATTTTACCTAATCAACTAATCAACATAGTTTCTAATATTCATCAGCCTCTCTAAGTTTAGAGAAAAACATATATCTCTCTTAATTTAATTCATACATCAGACACAAGAGAATGAAGATAATTATCATACATTTATTTAGGATAATTAATGCTCAAGTAACTTTAAGAGATATTCCAATAATTTCACTACTTTCAAATAAAGAAATGAAATAAGTGAAATAGAGAGTGAATTAGGTGAGATGGTTTTCTATAATATCTCTTAAGGAAAAAAACAAGAATAGCCTGAGGTCGATCATTTAGTTACATCAAGAGAATAACTAAATGCCTGCTTATTAGTATTTTTAATTTTTAAATAAATTCATATTTTTTTAGATTGAATTAAATTTCATTAATAAAAAATGAAAGAATAAATGTGATATTTTTTTAATAATTTTTATATATTGTTGTAAAATAATAAATAAAATAGAGTCTATTAACTCAATTAGACCTTAAAAATATGTTTGAATCTAATTATTTCAGTAGTTTAAATGTCAACAAAATAAAATCAAACTTAATAAAAACTTTTTAATACCACTTATTAAATTTCAAATTCGAGTTTTGATATTGAGCCAAAATGTCTAATTAGTGATCAAGCACCTCTAATTTATAATTTAAAAAAATTATAAATATATTTATTTGTATAATATGTTTAAAAATAAATTGGATGTTTTAACATTTTTTCAAAGTCTACTACTACTACTTTAAAAAGATTATAAAATAAAAACATTAAAAATTTAATATATTTATCTAAAACTCTTTAATATTAAAAGTAAATTAAAATACATTTTTTATTTTTAAATAAAATAAAGTAAAATATTTTCATTTTTTTTGACTAATAATATATATATTATGACTTTAATTAATTAGAATTTATTGCTAGTTGATATTAAATATTAATACAATTTTTTTTATTTTTGTAAACCAAAATACTTACTTTTAGCTTTTTATTTTAACTAAAAAAAAAATTTACTCTATTAGCAGCAAATTAGATTTCTTATAGTTAGGGACTAACTAAATGACTCTACTTTTTTTGCAGTAAGTACTTGTAATTTTTATATTATTCATACTATACTAAAAGAAAATAGTTTAAAATTAGAATTTAGTTAAATCATTCTTTAATTTAAAGAAATACGTGAGTATGCTCATTTAATATATTTTCTATACTTAAAAGTTAACTTTAGACATTTACTTTATTTATCATCTAAAAAAATAATACATCATTGAATTTAATTGTTAGTTGAAATATTACAACTACACATAAATCATTAAGAAGGTTTTTTAATTGATAAACTTACCTGAAAAATAAAAAAAATCTGATGAAGGCGAGATTCGAACTCGCGCCCTTTCGGAATAGAGCCTTAATCTACCGCCTTAGACCGCTCGGCCACTTCATCTTCGATGAAATTAAAGAATCTATTTATTTTATTTTTATAATATTTTGAGTCTTATTAACTCCAAATGAAAATTACTCTTATTAACCTCATATTTAGACTAAATTTATGGATAAAGGCAATAATAATTTAAAAAATAAAAAAAATTTGGATTTTTTAGGCAAAGTAGATGATTATGTATGTATTTTTACATTTAAAGTCAACTGTAGAACTTTGCAAAAGACAAGAAGAAATCATATTGTCTAAGTAGTAAACATTTGTCAATATTAGTCCATTTAACTTACAAAATGATGATAAAGCTAATTAAAGTAGTTAATTAAACAAACTACAACAGTAATATTTTTTATAATATTAAAGCTTGTAAACATAAATTAATCTTAATAATAATTAATATAACCTTTTACACTCCTAGAAAGAAATGAAACCTAGTCATTTAAAAGCCATAAAGCAATTTTATATTTTTAAAAAAAGTAGTTTATCTGACTAATAGAAAAATGATAGTTTAACATCACTTATCAACAAGAATATATAAATATTAAATGATTAAAGACAAGAAATATAGACTTAAAATAAGATTAAACCATAATAAAAACCATAAACCTAATAAAAAAAGTACCATCATATTTTTTTAGATTTAAAAATCTAATTAAGAGCTAGCTAATATAATTAAAAAATCAAAAGATAAAAATAAGAGAATAAATAGAAATATCAAAAGCAAAACAAAAAATTAAAGAATAAAGCACAAATGTGTAAAAAATTTATAATTTAAACTTTGAAAAATATTTTTTAGTTGAAAATTTGAAAAAATATTGAATATTGTATTTGAAGACTTTTTATACTATATTATATTTATATATTATATTCAATTTATAAATTTTTATTGAATAGTGCTTTTACATACTTTTTCATAAATACTTTAATATATTTTTTTTCATTTTAAATTAAGCATAATCTAGGTATTAAAATATAATGCTGTCTAATTCATCATATTTTATACCTGGATTAGCAATATATTTTAATTTAATCAGGTTTAATTTCTTTTTTGAAATTTCTTAGTTCTAATTAGCTAAACTGAAAAATAAATTAATTAAAATTAAAAATATATTATTAAATGCTATTCACTTATCTAGTCGCTTCCAAACGGCAAGATTTTTGAATGGCATTATACTATATTTTATAAAATATTTTATTTGGTTTAAATACATTAATTTTTTTTTCTTCAAAAAACTAGTAAAATAGAAGTAAAAGCTAAAGCGAATTAGATAGCCTTTGCAGAAGAAGGATTAATGTTAACTATAGATCCTGTAGTATTATTTTCAGTCTTTTTATCTTCAATCTTCTTAGCTTTTTCGCTCTTCTTTGCTTCTTCAGTTTTCTTAGCTTCTTCAGCCTTTTTAGCTTCTTCAGTTTTTTTAGCTTCTTATGCCTTCTTTGCTTCTTCAGCCTTCTTAGCTTCTTCGGCCTTTTTTGCTTCTTCAGCCTTTTTTACTTCTTCGGCTTTCTTTGTTTCTTCAGTTTTTTTAGCTTCTTCTTCAGCCTTCTTAGCTTCTTCTTCTTCAGCCTTTTTAGCTTCTTCTTCAGCAATAAACTTTTCTATTTTTTATGATGCAATTTATAAAACTTCATCACTAGCTTTTACAACCTCATCAGAAATACTCTAGACTTTTTATGAGTATAAGGTAAGTCTTTGAGAAATTTCGGTATAGTTTTGAATCATTTAATTAAGCATTTCGATAGACTTATTAGCTTTTTCAATAGCCTCCTTTTATGTTTACTTATTATCATCTGTATCTGCTTTTTCTAAAGCTTCCTTAGAGTCTTTAATTTATTTCTCATTATATTCAATAGCTTTTCTACTAATTTCAATAATATTCTTCTATTCTTTATCAGCCCTTTTAGCAGTAGTAGTAGCTTCTAAAGCTAAACTTTTAGCATCCTAAGTTTTTTTAACAACTTCATTGGCTTACTATAAATTCGTAGCATTTTCAGCAGCTAATTTCTACTTTTAAACAGTATTTTTGGCAGCTTCAACATCTCTCAAAGCTATTACAGATTATTCTTCCAATTGAGCAAAAGTTATTACTAAGAGAAGTGCTGAAATTAAAAGAACAAAAAATTTGTTATTCATTTTTATTAAATTTGTTAACTTTTTTTTAATTAATTTAATTATTATATTTTAGAGATTTAAAAATGGCTAGCAAATTTTAATTATTGAATATAATTCTAATATGAATAGTACTAAATAAGTAACTAAATGATCTATTTTATTTTTATTACTTGATAAGTAATTGATTAAACAAATTTAATTATTAGATAAAAAATAGACAGAATATATCACTAAAATAGAAAGGATTAATTTAAGATTCTAGTATAATTCATGATTATTAAAAGTAAATTTAGATATTATTATATTAAAAGCAATCATAAAATCTAAAATTTTAACTCTATTTTTTTTAGATAAAGAATAATTCATAAATAACTTCACTTAGTAGATATTGAAAAAAACTTATTTATATTTTTAACTTTAAAAAGCTAATTGATCTTGTATTTTGGTTTTTGATTCAAATAAATATGTGTTGGATTTGATTAAATTAAAAGCATATATTAACAAAAATAATATTATGTTAAAGTAGTTTTTTAATTTATGGTAATAGTAAAGCATTTTAAGTAACTAATTTCATTTAATCTAATTAGAAAGGCTAGGCTTCTTAAATTAAGTTTTAAGTATTTTTAGCTGTTCAAATATTATATCATTTATAAAATGTAATAGACACCTTCTTATATGCTTTATTAATATAAACATTACTTTAATAATCATAAATTTGTTATCTGAATTTCAAAATGAGTATGTAAATTAATAATGACAGAGAATTTAAAATGGGAATATTTTTAGATCACTTAGAAAAAATCGGTAATTCACTTGGCAAGCGGCATGCGCAGGAATTAATTTTAAATTTGGCAATTAAATTAAATTTTTATAAGGGGGTTGGCTAATTAACAATATAGAATTTAAAAAATTTAAAAATAATTAATTTAATTCATTTTATTTTATTTTAGAGAAATTTATGAAAAAATATGAAAAATACAGCCTTCCAAAAATGCTTGAAAGGCTAGAGGAATCTTTTACAAAATGATCTAAAAAATTCACCAGTAAATTCTCTAGTACATAATTTTAATTATCAAAAAAATTAATTATTTCTGATAATAGTTATGAATTTTTGATCTAAAAATATTTAAAATGGGAAAATGAAAAGCGTAATTTATATTAATTATCTAAAATAGTAGGATATTCAATAATACTTTACAAATTGAAATTTAAAATCTAATCGCTTAACTATCTATACCTATTAAAATATTTATCTCATCCTAATTATAAAAAATCTTTTGATTTATGAAGTTATTTGTTAATTAATTTTCTCAATTTATTAGAAAAGTAACTTAGCTTAATCTAAATATTGCTAGAACTAATTATCTCTAACTTATTTTTTCCTCTATCTTTAATTTAATTAATTTGAGCTGAAACGAATGTTTAGCCTCTTTAACTTATTTAACCAAATTATTAATATAAAAAAAAACTTAAAAAACTTCATATTTTGAAAAATAAATGCTATTTTAAGAATAATTACTTAAATTAATGAAAATTTCAAAAAATTGTATTTTTTTCAATCATTTTTATTAAAATTTTGATAAGAATAAATTAATTAAAAAAGAAATGTAAATATATGAAATAAAAAATTCTAATATAATTTCAATATGACAATAAAATAAATTCATAATTAATCAAATTATTAAAGAATGGTCATTTTATTAAAATAGCAAAATATTTTAATTTATTTTAAACATTATTTTAATAATTTTAAATATATGGCAAAATTATAAAAATACACTTTTAATTAGTTGCCTTTAATTTATAGTTTGAATTTTTGTTTGCAATATCTTCAGCTATTACTAAATAAATTAACTTTACCGAACATTATAAACTTCTACTATTGCTAATAACAAAGTTTCTTTATAAAATCAAATTTGTTTTCAATATTAAAAATCGTTCTAGGATAGATCAAGGGCAGTCATAACTCTATATAATTATTTTTACTTAAATATAGAATAAAATTTATCATTTGATTATAATTAAAAATAAATAGATATAGAGTACATAAAATATTTCTTCTTAATGACCATCAAAAAAAATTTAAATAATTTAGTTGCTTATATTATACTCTAAATTAATTAGTTACCATTAGTTTAAATGAAGTTAATTTCAGGTTAAGAATAGCTTGTTTTCTCTAGTTTTATAAATAAAATTAATAGTAGGCAGCAAAAAAAAGTTAAAAATTTCTAATTTTAGGATAAAACTTTACATATTAACTGTAAGTAAGATGAACTATTTTAAATTAAATATAATTAATTCTTATGAATAGGGATTTAATTTAAATTTTAATAAGTATTAATTAGAATCAGCTTTATTAAAAGATAAATATAATGTTCTAGATTTCTTTTTTATTAGGTAAAAATTAGGTTTTTATTGAGGTTAAATTCTTTTAGTTTAGGATTTTTCATTTATTTTTTCTATTTGTTTGCTTTAGTGATTTTAAATATTTTATAAAAATAATATATGAGAGAAAAATAAAATACATATTTATACAAATTAAACTTGATTAGCAGTAAAAAAAGAAATTAAATATAGGGTGTAGAGTTTTTTTGCCTTGAATATAGTTTTCTGATTTATATCTAAAGAATTGGAGATAATCCATAAAAACCGGTTAATGTGTACATAATAAAGGTGAGTTAGGTTATGATTCCCGTTATCTATTATATGACTACCTAGAGTATTAAGATTAACTTTTTTTCCATTTTTTGAAATTGAATTTGATAATATTTTTCATTTATTATTGGATGGAAATTTTAAATTATTTATCAATCATTCTTCAATACAAATTTTTACTTTTCAAAATTCTTAATTAATTTTGATTCAATACTATTTACTAATGGGAATTATTTATTGATCTGTAATTAATATAAATTAAAAAAGAAAAACCTTTTATTTTTTTAAAAATTAATTAGACAATTAATTAAAAATCCTATCAATACATATTTTACTTACAAATAAATTAAATAAAAATTAATCTTTTAAATATTTTATTTGCTTTAAACGTGGTTTTTTTTTTATTCAGAAAGCCATTAAAATAGCAATAAAAGCTTAAGCGAATTAGATAACCTTTCCAGAAGAAGGATTAGTGTTAATTTTAGCTTCTTCGGCCTTCTTAGCTTCTTCTTTTGCTTTCTTAGCTTCTTCTTCTTCTTCTGCTTTCTTAGCTTCTTCTTTTGCTTTCTTAGCTTCTTCTTCGGAAGTATACTTTTTTATTTATTATGATACAATTGACAAAATTTCATCACTATCTTTTTAAACCTAATCTAAAATCAATTAGGCTGCTTCCAAGCTTTGCTAAAGCATTTCTAAAATATTGGTTTATTCATCAATAATATTTTTAATAGTTTAGATTTAATTCTAAGTAATTCTAATTTTCTCTTCTAAGTCTCTTTATTTATCTTCATTATCCAGAAAAAATTATCAGAGAATAGCAATATAATTAAAAATGGTTCTAAGATAGTTGAAGGAAGGCAAGCAATGACCCTAAATAATTATTTTTACTTAAATAAGGTTAAAATAATAAAATTTAATTTGGTACCAAATAAATGTAAAATTTCTATATTTTTTATTTAAGATCCAAAACTTATTCGTCATTTTATTTTCAATTTCTCTATTTGACTAATTTTGAATACTGATGATGGAATTAATTTTCTAACTATTGATCCTATTCAACTGATTACTCATATTACTCTTCTAACTAATCTAAATTACTTTTTAATTCTCCATCTGTTGATTGATCTTCTATGATTACTCTTGAGATTACTAATTTTAAATTTAAATTTAAGAATATTTATCTGAGTAAGAGAAGGCTGAGAGATTAAATATTCTTCTATTAATTGCTTTTAGATATCGAATCTTTGTCTCATTTTGAATTATATTAAAAACTCTATGTTTTTTTAGATTTTTTTCATTATCAGATGAGTTTTTATTTCATTATAAAAATTTGATTTAATAATTTTTTATAATAGTTCTTTAATTTTAAGTGTATTTATTTATTCTCTCTCTTCTAAGTTACTTTCTTTTATTTTTTTTATCTTTCAAATCTTGAATTTAAAGGAAAATTTTATAAGGGGATAATCAAATTAACAACGTAATTTTTAAAAATCATTAATTTAATTTATTTAATAAAAATTTATGAAAAAAATTGAAAAAGTTAGTTAGTCAGCCTTCCGAGAATGATTGAAAGGTTAGAGGAAACTTTTTCTAAATGATATAAAAAGGCATCAATTGATTTTCTAGTACCAAATTTTAATTAACAAAATGTAAGTTATCTGACTTAATTTAATCAAAAAATTAATTAATTAATTCTGATAATTTACTCTAGTAATAGTAATAAATTTTTCATCTAAAAAATTTTTAAAATAGTGAAGATGAAGTAATAATTTTTTAATAATTATCTCAAATAGTTAATATTTCGAATATAAAATAAAATTTAATATATAGAATGAAAAGGATATTCACAAAATATTTTACAAATTAATGAAAAAAATTGAAAAAGTTAGTTAGTCAGCCTTCCAAGAATCATTAGAAGGCTAGATGAAACTTTTTCTAAGTGATCTAAAAAGCGCATCAATATATTTTCTCGTACTAGATTTTAATTAACAAAATGTAAGTTATCTGACTTAATTTAATCAAAAAATTAATTAATTAATTCTGATAAATGTTTCATCTAAAAAATATTTGAAAATAGTGAAAAGGAAGTAATAATTTATATATAATTATCTCAAATAGTTAATATTTCGAATATAAAATAAAATTTAATATGTAGAATGGAAAGGATTTTCATAAATTACTATAAAAATTGAACTTTATGATCTAATCATTTAACTATACCCATTAAAATATTTAGCTCAAATGTTCTAATTTATGAAATAATTTGTAAATTGCTTATCTCAATTCTTTAGAAAAGTAAGTAACTTAGCTTAATCAAAATATTGCTAGAACTAAGTATATCTCACTCTTTTTTCCTTTATCTTTAAATTAATTTGATCTGAAGGAATGAATGTTTAACTTCTTTAATTAAATCAACAAAATTTTTAATATGAAAAAATTAACTAAAAAAACTTCTAATTTTGAAAAGCGCTAGTTTAACAATAATTAAGCAAACTTTTGATTAATGAATACTTAATAAAATTGTATTTTTTTCATTTATTTTTATTAAAAATTTAACAAGTATAAATTTACTAAGGAAGATAAAACATTCTTGTATGTTTTCATTAGTCAAAGAAAATAAAATAAAATAAATTCATTTTTATTATTATTAAAGAAATATTAGTTAATTTATTAATTAAAATATTTTGACTTTAAATATTATGAAAATAATTTTAAATAAGTTATCAAATTTATAAAATGCAAAAATGATAAAAATATTCTTGTAATCAATAACCTTTAATTTTTGATTGCATGTAATATCAATAAATAAATTAACCTTTTCAAACATTATAAACTTCTAGTATTGTTAATAGCAAAGTTTCTTAGTAAAACATATTTTTTTTTCAAAATTAAAAATGGTTCTAGGATAGTTCAAGGGTAATAATAGACTTAAATAATTATTTTTACTTAACAATCAATAATATAGAGTAAAATGCCATTTCGATTTACAATAAACTAAATTTAATGTTTTGATTTAATTAAGTTTGGAGAATAAAAAATTAAATTTTTTCTAATTTTTTTTAAACTTACTACATTATTCTTTTTATTATGAATTTTATTTTTAAAAAAATGAATTAGACAATTAATTAAAAATCAATCACATCAAATACATATTTTACAAATCAATTAAATAAAAATTTATTAGTTAAATATTTTATTTTTTTAATTATGGCTTTTTATTTTTTTTCATCAGAAACCCAGTAAAATAGCAGTAAAAGCTAAAACGAATTAGATAACCTTACCAGAAGAAGGATTAGTGTTAACTTTAGATTCTGTAACCTTATTTTCAGTCTTCTTAGCTTCTTCAGCCTTCTTAGCTTCTTCTTGAGCCTTGTTAGTTTCTTCTTGAGCCTTCTTAGCTTCTTCTGCCTTCTTATCTTCTTGAGCCTTCTTAGCTTCTTCTTGAGCCTTCTTAGCTTCTTCTGCCTTCTTATCTTCTTGAGCCTTCTTAGCTTCTTCTTCTTGAGTCTTCTTAGCTTCTTCTTGAGCCTTCTTAGCTTCTTCTTCTTGAGTCTTCTTAGCTTCTTCTTCTTGAGCCTTCTTAGCTTCTTCTTGAGCCTTCTTAGCTTCTTCTTGAGCCTTCTTAGCTTCTTCTTCTTGAGTCTTCTTAGCTTCTTCTTCTTGAGCCTTATTAGCTTCTTCTTGAGCCTTCTTTGCTTCTTCTTCGGCAGTATACTATGCTATTTTTGATTATGCAATCATCTAAATTTCATCACTAGCTTTTACAATATCTTCAGAAATACTCTAGGCTTTTAAAGAGGCATTGGTAAGTTTTTAAGAAATTTCATAATAGGTTGGAATTGTGAGGTTAAGACTATCGAGAGCCTTCTAAGCATTTTCAATTTTATCCATTAATGTTTATCTATCATCTTTATTATCTGGCATTGTTAAAGCTACTTAAAATTCTGAAATTTATTACTAGTAATATATAAGACCGTTTTTTTAAGTTTAAAAAAACTTCTTATAGTCTTCATCAGCCTTTTTAACAGCAGCTACAAATTCTAAAGCTTAAAATTTAGCATCTGAAGTTTTTTTAGCAACTTCATTAGCTTACTATAAATTCTTAGCATTTGTAGCAGCTAATTTCAAGTCATTGATAGTTTTTTAGGCAGATTCAAGATTTTTGAAAGCTTTATCAGATTTCTCTTCCTATTGAGCAAAAGTTGTTGCTAAGAGAAGGGCTGAAATTAAAAGAATAAACAATTTCTTATTCATTTTTATTGATTAATTTACTTTTTTTTTATTAGTTTTTTTTAATTATTAATTTAATTATAATATTTTAGAGATTTAAAAATGACTTTTTGAAATAAATAAGGAGTGTAATTAAAATTAATTATATAAATATTATTATTACATGAATAGTACCAAATAAGCAAACAAACGATTTGTTTGAGTATTTGTATTATTTAATAAATCAAATGTAATTAATTACTTAATTAAAAATAGGTAGAAAGAAGATTAATTATATCACTTAAATAGAAAGGATCAATATTTTTAATTAATTTAATATTCAAGTATAATTATTATTATATAAAGTAAATTTAGACAATCATTTTTATATGAAAAATAATCATAAAATGTATCTATATTTATTACAAACAAAGAGTAAATAATAAATAAATTCACTTATAAATATTGAAGGTAACTAATTTACTGTTTAAAAAATTAGTAGATTTAAACATCTTTTGACATCGAATATTTGCTTTTCCATTTAAATATAAAGATTTTAGATTTTAAAAGCATATAAATAAAAGTTATTTTATTTTTATGGTAATAGTAAAGTACTTCTAGTATTTAGCCAATTGTAATTAAACAGATTATTTTTATTTTAATTAGAGAGATTAGGTTCATAATAATTTTAGTTAGATACAAAGATTAAATTTAGTCTATGTGAGAACTATAAAATAGACATATAAATCGATAAGGTTTAAGCTTAATTAGCATGATCATTTATCATTTCTCTTAATTTTATGAAAAATATATAATTTTTCTAATAGTTTAACAAATAAATGGTTGAAGGTTTATATAGAATATAGAGAATGGATTATGGCAACATGAAAATATTCCTTATTTAAATATGTTTAGACTAGTTATTATTATTATTTAAAATTTTAATTTAAAGTAAATATCTAGTGTGTTGCTCATAATATTTTGTTAATGTAAAGTGGCCATGTCAAATTATATAACTATTACCATAAATTGCTATATTTACAATACACAGCAGATAAAAATGCGTTGATTTTTAAAAATGTGTTAATTAATTAATTTTCTCTGCTCTTTAGTAAACTACTAAGTTTCATTAAAATAATCCTACAACTATAGTATTCTCTAAATTAGTACTTTTGTTTTTAAATTAATTAAAATGATCTTTAATATGATGTAAACAACTAAAAAAACTTCTAATTTTCAAAAATATTAATTTAAGGATAATTAGGTAAGATGATAGTAAATAAAATTAGATGTAATTAAATTCGTTTTTATTAAAATTTTAATACGCATTAATTAATCTAAATAAGCATGAATTTATATTGTAAAAATGTTCTAGCATTCATTTTTATTAGTTTGATAAAAGTTATTTCATTTTTATAGCCAAATAAAACAATTTCAGTTTATTAATTTATTTCTAATATAATCATTTTTATAAACTATAATAATGATTTTTAAATATTTTATAAAATATTTAATAAAGAGCAATAAAAAAATATAATTGAAATTTACAACTTTTACTTTAAATTTGAATAATTAATTTTGTAAACTATTACTAAATAAATTATCATTTACAGATAATGTAGATTTCTGATATTACTGACTATGAAGGTTTGATACATTATCAAGATTATTTTTCAAAATATAAAAAGGTTCTAGAACATAACGCAAGGACTTTAAATTACAGTAAAAAAAGTCATTTATTTGAAAATGGTTTATATAGATAAGTTAATTATTTTAAATATCGTTAGAAGTAAATACCGTAATTACTGATTACTTGGAACTAGGATTCTTTATTTTTAAGAATTTTTTTAAAAAATTAACTTTTTTTAGATACTCATTCTTATTCGATATTTATATCATCATTTTATGAAGAGATATGGTATTTAAAGTATTTAAAGATCAAAAATATTTATTTGATGAAAATAGATAGAAGGAAGAGAGTATCAATTAATAAAATACAAAGAATCAATTAAGGTTTTTAATTAATTAAATATTCAAGTATAACGATTATTAAAGTTAATTTGCATAAGTTTCTATGGATAAACAATAATAAAATCTATTAAAAAAACTCTGTTTGTTTATAATAAAATAATAGATTAATCAAAAATAATTTCTACAATAAATCTTTAACATAACTTTTCTACTACTTAAAAAATTATTAGCTTTAAAAAGTTATTTGTGATTGAATTATTATTTTTTATTTAAATTCAAATATGTTGGATTTTATTAGATACTTAAAAAGAGAAATTAAGAAAGAAATCATACAGTTAAAGTAGGTTTTTATTTTTATGGTAATAGTAAAGTATTTATAGTAACTAACTAATAATTCGAAATTACTAGATAATATTTAATTAAACTAAAGTGATTAAGTTGCACAAATTAAATCTTAAGAAATGTTTAGCTATTAAAAATGTGTTAGATATTAACCAAGAGAGACGAGACACCTTATTATATACTTTACAAATAACAATTTATTGATTATTTAGTTTAAATTAAATAAAATAATTTTGATCTCTTATTTGAAATATTTTTTATTTATATATATATATATATATAGTACCCTAGGGTACTGCCTTTTTCAAGGCTACATACACGAATATTAATAAGATTTATTCTTTTTAATTATTTTTGTTTTAGTGTTTTACTTTTTTTTTCACCTGGTTTTTGGTGTTTATTTATTTTTTTTGTTTTTTTATTTTTTATTTTAATAACAGTTTTTAAATAAACTAATTTTGAGTACTATAAAAAAAATGTAGAAATCAATAAATTTTGTGTCTAATAAGCGTATTGTATTGTTTTGTGTTATATCTTAATATTACCAAAAGCTATTAATTATTTCTAACAATTTAGGATATTAGTAATCAATGAAGATTACATAAAATTTTTTTAAAACAATAGAACATACGGCGAGGATGTGCGCTAATATGAAGTATTTAGTTAGTTTAAATATGTCTATATTATTTTTATGAATTATATTTATTAAATTAAATACTTAGAGTATTTCTGAAAATTGTTTACAAACCTAAATTTACAAATCAAAAAAATAATTTGCCTATTCATATTAAAATGCATCTCTAATTCCACCAAAGATGTTTTGATTAATAAAATTACTTGTTAATTAATTTTTTTCAGTTTTTTAGAAAAGTAACTTAGATTCATGAAAATAATCTTAAACCAAAGTACTCCCTCAATTATTTTCCTTTAGTTTTAATTAATTTTAGCTAAAGTCCAGCTTAACTTCTTTAATTTTATAAACAAAATCCTTAATACGCAAATAAGAATTTAAAAGATTTAGAAATTAAAAAAAATGCTTACAGAGCGATTTTAATAAATTAATGGGATAAGATACAAAAAAATTGGAAGATTTTTATTGATTTTTCTTAAGATCTTAATATAAATTAATTAGTTTAAAGAGAAAAAACAAACATATTGTATAAATGTTCTACCATTATTTGAATTAGGTCGATAAACATAAATTCATTTTTAATCTTAAATTAAAACGGTTTCAGTTTATTTATATTCTTAAAATATTTTTGGTTTTAGTAATTTAAACACTGTAATATTTATAATATGTAACATAAATAAAAAGTACTGGTCTACTTGAGTATATGTAGAAACTCGTGTTATATTAAAAGAAATTTATATCTTAGATTTTGCTCAAGTTGAAATGTTAAATTATCGAAAAAAATTAGAGTCAAAAAATATTTTGAAGGTTTGGCTCGAATTGAATTGACTCTATATCATTTACATAGTAATTTTCTGACTAGATCAAACCCTAAAAAAATTATTAAAATTGACAATCTTAACTTTTAATTTGAATAATTGTTTGTAATATCTTTGACTATTACTTAATAAATTAACTGAGTGTTCTAATATTATTAATTTAAAAATTTGCGAATGCTATTTTGATCGTTTTTATTAATAAATAGTTCTAGAATATAAAATAAGGAAAGTAATTAAAATTAACTAAAGAATTCTGTTTGTAAATTTAATCAATTGCTTTTATTATTTTGAATATAAATAAATAGTTATTTGATATATTTTAAAATTATTTTTTTATTTTTATTTGGAATATTTGAATTTTCATTATTACTAGTAAAATACTTTGCTAACTAATTACATACTCAAAATAAAAATAATCTAATTTATTGCAATATATTTTAATTAATTTTAGCTGCTTACTTTGCTTGATGACAATAGTTTACCTTATAAAAATCAACTCGTTACATTTCTTTAAAAAATCTAGCTAATTTGAGTCTAAATATGCGTTCGCTTTTTAATTTTATCAGTTAATTAAATTTATATTAAGCAACAAAGGTAATAAAAATATCTAATTTTAGAAAGTATCTTTGACTATTACAGGATAAATTAACTGATAGTTCTAATATTATTAATTTAATAATTTGCGGATGCTATTTAGATCATTTTTATTAATAAATAGTTCTAGAATATAAAGCAAGGATAGTAATTAACATTAAATAAAAAATTCTGTTTGTGAATATAATCAATCGCTTTTATTATTTTGATATAAATAAATAGATATTTGGTATATTTTAAAATTATTTTTTTATTTTTATTTGGAATATTTTAACTTTCATTATTACTAGTAAAATACTTTGCTAACTAATTACATACTATAAATAAAAATAAGCTAATTTATTGCAATATATTTTAATTAATTTTAGTTGCTTACTTTACTTGATGGCAATAATTTACCATATAAAAATCAACTCGTTACATTTCTTTTAAAAAAATCTAGCTAATTTGAGTCTAAATTTGCCTTAGCTTTTTAATTTTATCAATTAATTAAATTAATATTAGGCAATAAAGGTAGTGAAAATATCTAACTTTAGAAATATTAGATAACATCTTGCTTAATCACTGTAAAATGAGCTACTTTTAATTGGATCTATTTAATTTGTATGTAAAGTAAAAAGTTAGTTAGTTAGTTAATTAATTAATAATATGATCTGTCTAGAATAATTCGTTTGAAGATCCTTTGTCAAAAGATATATAAAACTCAATAATTAATGCTCTAAATTTATTTTTTATTAGTTCAAAAAAATTAGTCAAGTATTTTGCTAAATAAAAGAATATTAAATTTACTTATTAATTTAAAACATTTTAATTTTTTAATTTTAGAAACATAGATAGCATCTGGCTTAACAGCTGTAAAATCGGCTATTTTTAATTAGATCTATTTAATTAGTATGTAAAGTAGACATTTAATTAATTAATAATTTGATATGTCTATAATAATTTGTTTGAAGATCCTTTGACAAAAGATAGATATAATTAATTAATTAATGCTCTAAATTTATTTTTTATTAGTTCAAAAAAATTAGTCAAGTATTTTGCTAAATTAAAGAATAGTGAATTTATTAATTAATATAATACATTTTAATTTTTCCATATTAATATTTTTAAATATTTTCATAAAAAAATATGAAATAGAATAATAAAAACTAAGTATTAAAAAAAGAAATTAAATGCTTCTAATTATTTAAAGTTCAAGCAAGCATTACTATTTATTAAGACAAATTACTATAAGAATCAATATTTATTTTTTTAAAAACAAGTCTAGAATATAATACAATTAAATTTGTTCAAATAAAAAAATCTAGTAAATTTCTATAAGTTTAAAATAGCTACCCAGATATTTTTATTAATATCAATTGTAATAAATAAATATATTTATCATAAATGAATATACAATAAATATTTATATTTACTATAAATTTGCTTCTTAGCGCTATTGTTTTCCTTTTTTTATTATTTAATATTATTGTAGACATAATTTTAATCTTAATTAGAAATTCTCTTAATTTAGAATTCTCTTATTCAAGAGCACTGACGGTATTTATAATTAATTAATTAAATTTGACAAAATATTCTATTCAAAATTCTTTTAAAAAAAATGTTATAATAGAAATTATACTTCAAATAACTTTAATCAGTATTCTTAATTTTCTTATTTATTTAGTTTTAAAATTTATTTTTTTTATAATAATAGTTTTTGATCTCTTCATTAAAATCTCATACTAATATCGAAATTGATCTATGGTATAAAAATTTACTAAAAATAAATATCTTTATTTAAAATCTTTATTTTATCTTACTAAATTTGTTAATTTTTTACTTTGAGCAAATAAGTCTTGCCTCTTATTCTAATTTTTTCAAAAATATGAAACTTTATTTTAAAGAATTCATCATTTTTAATTAATTTTCATGAAATCTAAATGTTTAGTTTTTTTTTCTAAAATATTGCATGCTAATAAATAATTTTTACTGTAAAATTCAAAAGTATAAATAATATTTAAGGTTAAAATGCATCAGATCTAGCTAATGCTTTAGCAAATTGTACTAATCTCATAGATTTGAATATCTATCTGGGGTAAAATATTATTTTTGAATACCATTTCTTATATAGAATTTAAAAAATGAATATTAATATTTTTTTATTTATTTTTTAATTTCATTATGTAAATTTTAATATTTAACTCATTTTTTACCTTTGTAATTATTTTTCTTCTTTTTGATTTTCTATTTTTAGACTTTTATAATGAAAATAATTTTTAAATAATTAAAAAGAGGTAAAAAAATTAATTCTAATTATGCATAAGTCTTAGGTTTGTCTTTAGCAAATTGCACTAATCTCTAAAATTTATCCATCAATCTAGTGTATTTTATAGTTTTTTTATTATTAATTTTTATATAAAATAAATAAAAATATATGTTTATTATCTTATTGTTTATTTAACTTCAAAATTTTTTATTTTATCTTCTTTGAATCTATTTAAATTTTTACCTTATTTTTAATTTGAACCTTTTTATTTTGAATTTTCATATTTTTATTTATTTATTCATTTTAAATAACAAATAATATTTAAATTGATGCTATAAAAGAAATAACTAAATCGATGATGAAGGTATTTCAGGATTATTATCTCCTTTGATAAACTGCACTAAGCTCTCAAATTTAACACTAGTGCTTTAGTAAAATTTTTTTTTCATTGTATATAGAGATATTTATTTAGATTAAAAATTCATATAATTCTTTTTTTAACAATCAATGTTTGGTTTTAATTAATTTTAAAATTATGCTTTTTTATCATTTTTCTCTAATTTTAAAAATCATTTATTATTATTTTCTGTTCAGAAATAATTATTTATTTTTAAATTTTAAATAGAAACAACAAAATTAGTGCATAAGGTATGTTAGGTTTAGGTTCAGCTTTAGTCAACTGTAATAATTTATCAAATTTGTGTCTTAATCTTTTGTAATGCCAATTTATTTATAATATTTTTTAGATATTTAATAAATATTTATTTAAAAATCATATTTTTTCTTAATACTTAATGTAAATAATAATTTTTTTTTAAAAGTGAACTTAAAATTGGTTCAAAAGGTTTTTCAGACTTAATTTCATCTTTAGCAAACTGTTCTAATCTCTCAAACTTGAGTCTCGAAATAGGGTAAAAAAATTGAAGTTGTTTTAATTTAGTGAACATTTAAATAAAAATTAATTAAAAATAACAAAAATCTTTGTAAGAATTTTCTATTTGATTTAAATATTATGAATTTATAATAAAAAAAAATCTAATTTTTTATATTTTTCCTCAACTTCTTCTTTTTAATAATACTTTTTTGTTCAATTTTTAAATAGAAATTGTTAAATTGGTAATGAAGGAATTCTAAATTCAGCTTCTGCTATTGCTGGATTTGCTAATCTCACTATTTTGTTTCTTGAAATAAGGTAAAAATAATTTATGATGATTAATCCTATTTTCAAATATTTATTTCTTTTCGAATAATATTTATTAAGTATTTATTTTTATTTATGTGGGGTTAGAGGATGGAAATAAATTTAAAAAATCCTGCCATAAATTGATAGAAATAAAATTCTAAGATTTTTGATTCTCCCCAACTCACTTATTACTCCCTCCTCTCTCTTAACTTATTTTTTAATTTAAAAATTTTACTTTACTTTTTTTTACTTTTTGATTATTTATTTATATCTTATTTTTTAAATTATAAATATTTATTTACTAAATTAATTATTTAAAAAGCAACAATTAAATTAATGCCCAAGGTGCATTAAGCTTAGGCACTGCTTTATCAAACTGTATCAATCTCTAAATCTTGAAAATTAATCTATAGTAAAAACATAATTTAATACAATATTCTTTATTTATTTAAAAGATAATCAAAATAAAAATTATTAATATGCACTAAATTACTTTATTTGGATTTTAATTTTTTTTTAATGTTTGTTTCTTTATTCTAAAATTTTTTTTTTAATATTTGTTTTAAAATTCTATGTTGGAAATTTAAAAAGTGAAAATTAAGTTGGTGCATAAGGTGCTTTAGATTTATGCTCTGCTTTAGCAAAATGCACTAATCTCTCAAATTTGGATATTTCTTTCTAGTAAAATTAATTATTTTTACTATTTTAATATTTCTTGATATAAAATTAATTATTATTTTCGAATATTAATCTCTTATTTACAATATTTTTCTTAATTATTTACTGAAAACTAACCAACAATAATTTATCAAAAGAAAGAATGGGATAGGTGCAGAAGGTGCATCAAGATTAGGTTTTGCTTTAGCAAATTGCTTAAATCTCTAAAATTTGGAACTTTACTTAGGGTAAAAATAGTTTTTTACATTTTACAATTATAAATATTTGTTAAATTATTTTAAAATTAGAAAAATTAGTTTTAATATTTTTTTGAAAAATTTTATTTGATGCTAAGTTAATTCATAATTTTTACCATTTCTTAAACTGAGAATATACTATTAAATTATGCATTTCTAATACTTTAAATTTATTTTTTTTAATTTGGTTATTAATCTTTTTGTATACTTAAAAAGTGACAATATTGGTCCATAAGGAGCTTAAGGTTTAGGTCAAAGTTTGGCAAGCTGCGCTAATCTCTCAAATTTGACTCTTTGTATTGAGTATAAAATTTTATTTGCTTTAAACTTAGATATTTCTTTATATAAAAAATTATTTAAAATAATATAAATAAATATCTTTTTTACTTCCTATCTATTTATAAATTTTTTTCTTTATTTTATCCTTAAAATTCTTGATTATTTTTTTTAATAAATAAGTAAAGGCAATTAGATTGGCGCATAAGGTGTATCAGGTTTATTTTATGGCTTAGCAAATTGCTTTAATCTCTCAAATTTATCACTCTTTCTACGGTAAAAAATATTTGTATTGCAATAAATATAATATATTGTTTTTTATAAATTAATTTGATAAAATTATCAAACATAACAAACATATCTTTTAAGAAAATTTATATTTTATTTATTTCTAGCTTAATTGAGTAATTTAGCAAGTTTTGCATATAATTTTAAATTTTTGATTCTTAATTTTATTTATTTATTTATTTTTTTTTTTTACATCAATCTCATTAATAACATAATATTTTATACTAAAAAAGTGGAAATCAAATAAGTTCATAAGACAACTCTGATTTATTTTCTGCTTTAGGAAAAATTGCTAATCTATCATATTTGAATTTTAGAGTTTGGTAAAAAGAGTTTAATTTTCTTTAAAATTAAACCATTTTTATTAATTTTATTGCTTTATTTTATTTGACTCATTTTCACTTTGTTTCAAAATTAAAATGATGTTATTATTTTAAATTTTAAAAATATTCCTCGTTTTTATTGATAATTCATAGTATTTTGTTTAAAAATGAAAAAAGTATGAATTATATTGGAGATAAAGGTGTTTCGGATTTGGGTTCAGCTTTAGCGAATTGCACTCATCTCTCAAAATTAATTCTTGATCTCAGGTAAAAACAGTTTATTTTTTCATTCAAAATGGTTAATAATTTAATAAAAATAATTTATTTTAATTAAAATACCATAATACCTCATAATAAGTTTACTAAAAAAAGAATCAGTGAGGTTTTTTTGCATATTTTTAAAATAATTTTCCAAAAAAAGCTATCAAACCTCAAGGTTTTTTTAATAAAATGCGAATTTCGAGATATTATACAAAAAGTAATTGTTAATTATATTTTTTAAAATTTATTTTTCCCACCCTTATTATTTTATTTAAATTTCAATTTGATAAATCTTAATGTATGTATATCCAATCTCAAATTTGATTGGGTAATCTGAAATAAGAAATATTTTTTTATTTTTAAATAATTAAGATTTTTTTTGTTTTTCTTGTGAATCACTTTTTAAAATTTCGATTCACTCTCGTTCGTTCTCGTGCATATAAAAAACGAGAGATTAAAGAATGAGGTATTTTGGTATTTGATAAGTTTTTGACTTACTAATTCATTTCAATCTATTTTAAAATTATTGAGTTTATAAAATAATTTAGTTTATTTTTTATTTTGAAAATTTTGCTTTCTATTTTTTTATTTTGTGTGCTGATTAATAAATTTTTTTGTACATTTAAAAAGTGAAAACTAAATTGGTCCATAGGGTGTATGCGATTTAGGTTCAGGATTAGTAAACTGTACTAATCTCTCAAATTTAAAGCTCTACCTTTCGTAAAAACATTTTAACTTTCAATTTATTTATTTTATTTATTTGTCTATTAGAATTGATTTACTTTATTTTACAATTTAAGACATATTTAAATTAAAATATTTTTTTTTATTGATTTCTTATTTTTTTGCATTATTTTTCTTAATTTTTTAATTTCAATTTATAATTTCTTGTTTAATAACAATTAAGTAACAATTAAATTGGTAATGAAGGTATATTAGGTTTAGGTTTTTCTTTATAAAAGCATGCTAATATCAAAAGATTAGAGCTGATTCTCATGTAAAAAAGTTCATTTTGACTGTGATATTTCTTATTATAAAAGTTAATTTAATTAGTTGAATTCTCCAAATCAAATTTTTATTTGATTTTAAAAATTTTATATTGCAATACAGTTAAGTTTTTGATTATTAATTTCTAATTATTGTTTCTTTTCAAATTGACTGATAACGTTTTATCATATTTAAAAAGGAATATTCAAATTAATGATGAAGGGGCATTATCATTCGTTTCTCTATTATCTAATTTCCCTTTCCTCCTTATTTTATTTATCAATCTCTAGTAAAAAAAGTTTATTTTTTTGCTTTAAATTTAGATTATAATTTGTAGAAAAATTAATTTAAAGAAATGACTATTGCTTCTACTAGTTTTTTTAAATTTTATCATTTTTTTTTATGTTTAATTTAATTTGACCACTGTGCAAAATCTAAATTTGTTTTGATTTTCTACTTTTCCTATTAAGTTTATTTTTAAATTTTTGAAAATTTTTTTTAAGTTGTAATTAGATTAGTATAGAAATCAGTTCTAAAATTGTTAGCAAGTGTCTCAAATCAAAAAAATTAATTGAAAAATATATTATTGTTTGATTATTTAATATATTTTTGTTATTAAGGTTTTTATTTCTGTCATGTATTGATAAAAAAAACAAAATTTATTTCAGTAATTTTAAAAAAAATAAAATTAAATGAAAACTAATTTTGTCTTTCTCAAAACTATTTTTATATTTTTAACAAAGATAAAAGTTTTTTGTAATTAAAGGACACTAATAAAAAGATTAATAATTAAACATTAATTATATAAAATATTAACTTCCTTAATATTATTTTTTAATTGAAATAAATCATTTAAATTCTAATAAGATAGAAAGATAGAAATAATTGCAAAATTTATTTTTTCAATAAATCATTTTCATTAATTTTTATTGATCATTTTTCAGAATATACTGCAACTATCTTTAATGTATAATATTAAATTTCCTTATTATTTTTTAGTTTAATTTTTTATTAAGCTCTTCCAAACTTAATCCTTTATCAAATTTTTTTGTATACCCACACCCCTAGTACCTAATTTTAATTAGCAAAATTTTTGTTATCTCAATTAATATTACAAAAATTAATTATTTCTGATAATTTACTATATTAAAAGTAATGAATGTTTCATTAAAAAATTTTAAAATGGTGAAAATAAATGAAAAGCATAATTTATTTATTTAAAATTATCTAAAATAGTTGTATTTATTATTTCGAATATAAAATAAAAGTAAATATGTATAATGGAATAGATATTCATAAAATACTTTACAAATTGAAATTTACTATCTAATCATTTAACTATACCCATTAAAATAATTAGCTCATGAAAAATATAAAAAATGTTCTAGTTTATGAAATAACTTTATAAATTAACTATCTCAATTCTTTAAAAAAATAACTTACTTAGCTTAATCAAAATAATGTTAGAACAAAGTACCTCTTACTTTTCTTCCTTTATTTTTAAATTAATTAATTAATTAATTTGATCTTAAGGAATGTTTAGCTTTATTAATTTAACTAACAAAATTATTAATATGCAAAAAAAAAAATAACTTAAAAACTTCTAATTTTGATAAATGCTAATTTAACAATAATAATGTAAAATTTAGATCAGTGAAAATTTAATAAAATTGGATTTTTTTCAATGATTTTTATTAGAGAGCGAATAAGTATAAAATAAATTTAAATTTATTATTTAATACGTTCTAGTATATTTTTAATAGGTTAATAAAATAAAATAAATTGATTTTTAACTTATGATTAAAGAAATTTCAGTTAATTTGTAAATTAAAATATTTTGACTTTAAATATTATGAAAATAATTTTAAATAATTTATCTAATTTAGAATACGCAAATATTATAAAAATATTCTTGTAATTAATTAATAACCTTTAATTTTTACTTTGAATAATTGCATGCAATACTTTCTACTATTACTAAATAAATTAACTATTTTGAATATAATAAACTTCTAGTATTCCTAATAACAAAGTTTCTTTATAAAATCAAATATGTTTTCAAAATTAAAAATGGTTCTAGTATAGTTAAAGGAAGGGCAGTAATAATCCTAAAAATCTACTTTAACTTAAATATGAATAATAAAATAATTTTGTTTTAATTATTTCTAAAAATAAATATATACAGTGCATAGAACCTTTCTTCTAAATGACAAATAACATATTTTGATAATTACACACCAAAAAATGAGTTAATTTTATTACAATATATTTTAATTAATTTATTAGCTTACTTAGCTTGATGGTAATCATTTAATAAATATAATATACTGTACGTTCTCGTTAATTAATGGCGATTTTTATCATTATCCAAAGTTTATTAAAAAAATGATCATTCATTTTTGAATAGAAATTTTTATATTTGAAAATTCTTAATTATTTTTGAATGGGAATATATAATTTATATGAAATTAATAAAATATCAAGCAATAAAAACCTTTGCTATCAGTGCAGCTATTTTTAATTTCTTATTTTATTAATTCATTATTTTTAAATGGTTGACTAAAATAGGTTAATTAATTTTTTATTATTAATGATTTTTCAAAAAACAAAATACTTTTTATTATGAATTTTATTTTTAAAAAAATTAGACAATTAATTAAAAATCAATCACATCAAATACATATTTTACAAATAAATTAAATAAAATTAATTAGTTAAATATTTAATAAAATCATTTATTTGCTTTAAATAAGGCTTTTATTTTTTTCTTCAGAAAGCCAGTAAAATAGCAGTAAAAGCTAAAGCGAATTAGATAACCTTGCCAGAAGAAGGATTAGTGTTAACTTTAGATTCTGTAACCTTATTTTCTGTCTTCTTAGTTTCTTCAGCCTTCTTTGCTTCTTCAGCCTTCTTAGCATCTTCAGCCTTCTTAGCTTCTTCGACCTTCTTAGCTTCTTCTTCAGCCTTCTTAGCTTCTTCAGCCTTCTTAGCATCTTCAGCCTTCTTAGCTTCTTCGACCTTCTTAGCTTCTTCTTCAGCCTTCTTAGCTTCTTCAGCCTTCTTAGCTTCTTCAGCCTTCTTAGCTTCCTCAGCCTTCTTAGCTTCCTCAGCCTTCTTAGCTTCTTCAGCCTTCTTAGCTTCTTCTTCTTCAGCCTTCTTTGCTTCTTCAGCCTTCTTAGCTTCTTCAGCCTTCTTAGCTTCTTCTTCTTCAGCCTTCTTTGCTTCTTCTTCGGCAGTATACTTTTCTATTTTTTATTATGCAATCAACTAAATTACATCACTAGCTTTTACAATCTATTCAGAAATAGTCTAGGCTTTTGTAGAGGCATCGGTAAGCTTTTAAGAAGTTTCAGTATAGGTTGGAATTGCTAATTTAATACTTTCGAGAGCCCTCTAAGCATTTTCCAATTAATCCTTTAATGTTTATCTATCATTATCATTATCTGCTATTTTTAAAGCTTCCTCAGATTTTATAACTTCTGACTCGTAATATGTAAGACCGCTTTTTTAAGTTTAAAGAAACTTCTTATAGTCTTCATCAGCCTTTTTAACAGCAGCTACAGCTTCTAAAGCTTAAAATTTAGCATCTGAAGTTTTTTTAGCAACTTCATTAGCTTACTATAAATTCTTAGCATCTGTAACAGCTGATTTCTAGTCAATGATAGTTTTTAAGGCAGATTCAAGATTTTTGAAAGCTTTATCAGATTTCTCTTCCTCTTGAGCAAAAGTTGTTGCTAAGAGAAGGGCTGAAATTAAAAGAATAAACAATTTCTTATTCATTTTTATTGATTAATTTACTTTTTTTTTATTAGTTTTTTTTAATTATTAATTTAATTATAATATTTTAGAGATTTAAAAATGACTTTTTGAAATAAATAAGGAGTGTAATTAAAATTAATTATATAAATATTATTATTACATGAATAGTACCAAATAAGCAAACAAACGATTTGTTTGAGTATTTGTATTATTTAATAAATCAAATGTAATTAATTACTTAATTAAAAATAGGTAGAAAGAAGATTAATTATATCACTTAAATAGAAAGGATCAATATTTTTAATTAATTTAATATTCAAGTATAATTATTATTATATAAAGTAAATTTAGACAATCATTTTTATATGAAAAATAATCATAAAATGTATCTATATTTATTACAAATAAAGAGTAAATAATAAATAAATTCACATATAAATATTGAAGGTAACTAATTTACTGTTTAAAAAATTAGTAGATTTAAACATCTTTTGACATCGAATATTTGCTTTTCCATTTAAATATAAAGATTTTAGATTTTAAAAGCATATAAATAAAAGTTATTTTATTTTTATGGTAATAGTAAAGTACTTCTAGTATTTAGCCAATTGTAATTAAACAGATTATTTTTATTTTAATTAGAGAGATTAGGTTCATAATAATTTTAGTTAGATACAAAGATTAAATTTAGTCTATGTGAGAACTATAAAATAGACATATAAATCGATAAGGTTTAAGCTTAATTAGCATGATCATTTATCATTTCTCTTAATTTTATGAAAAATATATAATTTTTCTAATAGTTTAACAAATAAATGGTTGAAGGTTTATATAGAATATAGAGAATGGATTATGGCAACATGAAAATATTCCTTATTTAAATATGTTTAGACTAGTTATTATTATTATTTAAAATTTTAATTTAAAGTAAATATCTAGTGTGTTGCTCATAATATTTTGTTAATGTAAAGTGGCCATGTCAAATTATATAACTATTACCATAAATTGCTATATTTACAATACACAGCAGATAAAAATGCGTTGATTTTTAAAAATGTGTTAATTAATTAATTTTCTCTGCTCTTTAGTAAACTACTAAGTTTCATTAAAATAATCCTACAACTATAGTATTCTCTAAATTAGTACTTTTGTTTTTAAATTAATTAAAATGATCTTTAATATGATGTAAACAACTAAAAAAACTTCTAATTTTCAAAAATATTAATTTAAGGATAATTAGGTAAGATGATAGTAAATAAAATTAGATGTAATTAAATTCGTTTTTATTAAAATTTTAATACGCATTAATTAATCTAAATAAGCATGAATTTATATTGTAAAAATGTTCTAGCATTCATTTTTATTAGTTTGATAAAAGTTATTTCATTTTTATAGCCAAATAAAACAATTTCAGTTTATTAATTTATTTCTAATATAATCATTTTTATAAACTATAATAATGATTTTTAAATATTTTATAAAATATTTAATAAAGAGCAATAAAAAAATATAATTGAAATTTACAACTTTTACTTTAAATTTGAATAATTAATTTTGTAAACTATTACTAAATAAATTATCATTTACAGATAATGTAGATTTCTGATATTACTGACTATGAAGGTTTGATACATTATCAAGATTATTTTTCAAAATATAAAAAGGTTCTAGAACATAACGCAAGGACTTTAAATTACAGTAAAAAAAGTCATTTATTTGAAAATGGTTTATATAGATAAGTTAATTATTTTAAATATCGTTAGAAGTAAATACCGTAATTACTGATTACTTGGAACTAGGATTCTTTATTTTTAAGAATTTTTTTAAAAAATTAACTTTTTTTAGATACTCATTCTTATTCGATATTTATATCATCATTTTATGAAGAGATATGGTATTTAAAGTATTTAAAGATCAAAAATATTTATTTGATGAAAATAGATAGAAGGAAGAGAGTATCAATTAATAAAATACAAAGAATCAATTAAGGTTTTTAATTAATTAAATATTCAAGTATAACGATTATTAAAGTTAATTTGCATAAGTTTCTATGGATAAACAATAATAAAATCTATTAAAAAAACTCTGTTTGTTTATAATAAAATAATAGATTAATCAAAAATAATTTCTACAATAAATCTTTAACATAACTTTTCTACTACTTAAAAAATTATTAGCTTTAAAAAGTTATTTGTGATTGAATTATTATTTTTTATTTAAATTCAAATATGTTGGATTTTATTAGATACTTAAAAAGAGAAATTAAGAAAGAAATCATACAGTTAAAGTAGGTTTTTATTTTTATGGTGATAGTAAAGTATTTCTAGTAACTAACTAATAATTCGAAATTACTAGATAATATTTAATTAAACTAAAGTGATTAAGTTGCACAAATTAAATCTTAAGAAATGTTTAGCTATTAAAAATGTGTTAGATATTAACCAAGAGAGACGAGACACCTTATTATATACTTTACAAATAACAATTTATTGATTATTTAGTTTAAATTAAATAAAATAATTTTGATCTCTTATTTGAAATATTTTTTATTTTAATAACAGTTTTTAAATAAACTAATTTTGAGTACTATAAAAAAAATGTAGAAATCAATAAAATTTGTGTCTAATAAGCGTATTGTATTGTTTTGTGTTATATCTTAATATTACCAAAAGCTATTAATTATTTCTAACAATTTAGGATATTAGTAATCAATGAAGATTACATAAAAATTTTTTAAAACAATAGAACATACGGCGAGGATGTGCGCTAATATGAAGTATTTAGTTTGTTTAAATATGTCTATATTATTTTTATGAATTATATTTATTAAATTAAATACTTAGAGTATTTCTGAAAATTGTTTACAAACCTAAATTTACAAATCAAAAAAATAATTTGCCTATTCATATTAAAATGCATCTCTAATTCCACCAAAGATGTTTTGATTAATAAAATTACTTGTTAATTAATTTTTTTCAGTTTTTTAGAAAAGTAACTTAGATTCATGAAAATAATCTTAAACCAAAGTACTCCCTCAATTATTTTCCTTTAGTTTTAATTAATTTTAGCTAAAGTCCAGCTTAACTTC